GAGAAAGACAGTATACAGCATATCTCACCAAAGCAGGTCAGGAACAAAGAGAGAAAGAACAAAGACCCTTTTTATAAGTATCTGACTTGTTTGGATTTAAATTCTGAGCTGTTGACCAATAGTTTTACTATTTTTAACTGTAAAAGTGAATATCCAATCATATATCAGACCTACAGGATGTTATCACACAGAGGTGTGACAGAATGGTCTGAAACTCCTGGTCTGCAGGCCACATCGGGCAAGTCACATTATGCTGGCTTGAAAATTGATAAGTAATTCCAATTGGAATCCAGCAAGAGTTAGGATATCCCAAAATTTCAACTTTTAATCACGCACAACCTCCATTTAGAATGACAGTCAAAGTCGGGAAAACTGATAAATGAGAGTACCTAAACGGGAACAACCATCTCAGTAACAGGTGCAATAAATCCAACTACTAACAGATTGGATTAGTTTAAAAAAATGTATGTAATTTATCTTTGTGTAGCATAAGATGAATGTGCATTCAAAATGTGATGATTGTACCTGTATATTCAAAATATTGGGTACAAAAATGCACCATTATACTAGATTATCAGCACATGTACCCTAAATGGTACATTGTGTATTTTGATATTTTTGTACCCCCGGGAACAATACTGTACCCTAACCCTACCCTTCTGAGAATGTAGCCCTGTCAGGAGAGAGAGAGAGGGGGGGGGGGGGGGGGGGGGGGGGGGCTGATGATAACAAGGAGGTAGCTTTTTCCATCAACAATCACTCTTTTTATCGACGAGGGCAGCTGTGCACTGTGCATGACAAACTGTGTGACTAGGGTGTGTGTATGTGTGTGGAGGTGGGGGGGGGGGGGGGGGGGGGCTATTTTCCAGACTTCTCATCAGGAAGCTCCACATTCATATCGATCCCCTTTCCACCTCCCTGTGCCTCCCCCTCTCCCCGAAATAACTTCATAAGACCAGGGTCGATGCCCCCTATCACCCCAGTTACAGTAAGAAAGAATGTGTGTGTATACTGTGTGTGTGTGGTCACTGAGAGGCAGCAGAACATCAACGTTCCTCAGTCTGCTTCCTGTCAAACGCGTGTCACTTCCTTTAGCCTGTCAGACAATCTGACTCCCCAAAGAGTGGGAGAGAGAAGGATGGATGGCGGGAGGGAGAACAGGAGGACTCATGAGAAGAGGAGAGGAGAGAGAGAGGGTGACCCACTGCTGACTTTTCACCTCAGGAATTGTGGTCGGTCTCTAGTTCATCTACATGGATCGAGCTTCTTGTTGCTATCATGTCACTAATGGGCTGGTTCCATTTCAACTGCTAGTCCCTAGCCCCTAACCCCTTGGCACTTCATAGATCTGACAGGATTGGATGGATATTAGAAATGTTGTAATTAACTCTCCCTCTAAGTGGAATTTCCTTTTCAGTGCTTATCCTCTCAGATCTGAGTGAAGTGACTCAGGAGTAGGAAGTAATTTAATACTGAGATGAGGCAGGAAACAATATTTACAGAGAGCGAGAAATAACGTTCGTTTGGCATAACACCAAAATATGTTTTATTTTATTTATTCGGGGGAACACTGGCGAGGAGTGTGATGGAATGTGGGCATAACAGCATGACCGTTGCCGTGGAGACCAAAGAAGGATTTCCCCGGCCTGCTGAACCCTTCTACTGGACTCCACTCTTCCTCTCTCTCTTTCAGTCTCTTTTTTCCCCTCCCTTCTCTTTCTTTCTCTCTTCCTCGCTCTCGGTCTCTTCCTCTACTTCTCTCTTTCTTTCTTATCTGTCACTTGTCAGATAGAATACAGACTTGTATGTAACCTCCCTATGGAGGTAATGTTTCTATCTGTATCCAACACAACTACATAACATCTCATACACCCGGGGACAATACATGGCAAAGGCTCTATGCGAGAGTGTGTGTATAGTTGGATTTGTAGTGTGTGTGTATGTGTTGTGTGTGTTAGTGTTCTAGGTGAGTGAGTCTGTAGTTCGTTAGCACAGACGGCACAGTTGGCTGCACACAACAGCACAGCTAAACTCCCACAGGCTTCGTCCCCTCACACTCTGAGCGACCCTGCTACCACACGCACGCACGCAGGCACGTACACTGCTGCGTTGTATTTGTGCCAAACTCCACTTCTTCTATAAAGTTTAAACAGTGCAGCGATATTATGAGCTGTTCCACCTGTGTGCGCCCTAGAGAACAGATGGCCCAGGCTTATGACTCAGAGTAATACAACTAACATAGCGTAGCCTACCTGCACTGACACTAATAAACAGACACACACACAGGAGCCCACTGCCTGCTGACACACACACACACACTTTATGAGCTCCTGAGTTCTGACACACCTGAGGAAGAGTGATGAGAATAACAGCTCTGAAATCCTGGGCTTTGTGCAGCCATGCATGAAGAGATTTACTCTCTCTCACACACACAGAGTCGGGGACCTGTTCAGTCACTGAAACAACCTGGCATCTGGACATCCCCACAGGCCACACACACACACTGCTCTGACGTGTGTGGTGAACAGAGCGGGGGACACATGCAAACATACGCAGTCAGCCGTTCACATCACCACAAGATACATTTATTCATATAATATTTAACGAGAGAGAGAGGGTGAGAGGAAGAGGGAGAGAGAGAGAAAGACAGAGACCAAGAGAAACAGAGTGAGGTATAGTTGTGGACATGGGGTCTGGATATTGTCAGAGTGAATAGGAGTTCTATCAGCGACAGTCTACAGACCCTCAACTAAATCTACTAAATCTCTACTAAATAAATAAATCACCAGGTGTGGAGACATCTGAAGCCCTTCCGTGTCCGTACCAGTTAGGCTATAAAAGCTTTACTGTATAACCAACCATTGACAGCCTTGCATCACTTTAAAACGAGTTGTGTTGAAGTTAAGCTAAAATAAAAATATATCATTAAGACTGACACTCATATTTAATGTCAGAGATTATCCATAATAAATAACGGCACTTGACTAGGAATAATTATTCTCTCTAAATGCTAAATACCAATGGGATATAAGGCCATTTAAAACGTCCCTGTTCATTCCACCTACATGGCATTATCATTATCACCCACAACTCAACAATTACCAAAAGATCAGTTTGGGTCAAACTACTGCTTTCACATTAAACTGAAAATGAGTATGTGTAGGACTGAAGTGGCTGCGCGGGACGATTTGGAACTGGGTACACACTAACCTCATCCCCAGGCTCGAATTGCTGCCGCATAGAGCCTGGTAACTATGCAACAAAGTGGGACTTGAAAGGGGTGTGGTTAGAATCGAGGCGGGAGAGGGAGCGAGCTGGGACTCTTCAAAATGGCGAAAACCGGCAATCAAAATAAATGTTGAATCACATTGACCATATTATTTATTGGGAAACCCAATTGATTCCGAGTTCATGCATATAACGTTTATATGTGAAAAAAAATTCTAAGACGTGTACTTTTAGATTTTTGTTTAAATCACTTGCACTGCTCGCGCTTTGAAATCCACAATGTAGGGGCGAGTTTGTAAGGGTTATGCTCGATGGTAATGGACTGAGAGATCAGCCAATTAAAACCAGCGGTGTTTTCAGCCGCTCCTGCCACAGACATCCAGTCAAGTCCCGTTCTGAGGTGCTGTGAAACCAGACGGTTCGAACGAGAGAGAGCTTGCTGGTGGACGAGATTAGGTACACACTAAATTAGAGTGTTTAATTAGTAGCTGGACACTGAGTGGTGAAAGCCTCTCTGGGCCTACCTGTCTTATCCGGACCCACTGGCCAACCAATGGCATTAAACTATTTAATCCAGGCTTTCCCAAACTAGGTCCTGGGAACCCCAAGGGGTGCACATTTTGGTTTTTGCCCTAGCACTACACAGCTGATTAAAATAATCAAAGCTTGATGATGAGTTGGTTATTTGAATCAGATGTGTAGTGCTAAGGCAAGGACAGAGTTTGTGAAAACCCTGATTTAATCCATTAATACAATTAGTCCACTGGAACTGGAGTGTGTGAGTGTGCGCGCGCGAGTACGTGTGTCAGAGAAGTACCAGAGAGGAGAAAAGGAGAGAGGAGAGGAGGAGAGTTAGGGAAAGAGACAGAAAAAGGGTTGAGTTAGAGGTAGCAGTAGAGAGTGAGAGAAAAAGCAGGAAATATTTTTTTAAAATCAGTCTCAGACAGATCGTATAAGACAACCAAGACAGAAAAGAGTGAAGGAGAGGAAGCTTGTTGGCCTCCATTGACTAACTGCCTAAGTGAGTGTGTGTATCAGCCACCACAAACATACATCTCCACTCCCTATTGTTCCGAAGCGCGCGCACACACACACACACACACACACACACACACACACAATAGGTTACATCCTCCAGAGTGTGTGTGTGTGTGTGTGTGTATCAGCCTCTACAATCAGTCAACATCCCCACTCTGTATTGTTCCGACGTACAAACACGATTGGCTACATATTCCTGATTCTCAAGGGTGCGTGTGTGCCTTATCAGTTTGCCGTGGGTATTATTTACAAAGCTGCAGTGTGGATAAGAGTTGAGCCTTGTTGAGGAGTGACAAACAACAGGAGATAAAACTATGGAGAGAGAGAGAGAGAGGATCTGATGTGGACTAGAATTGGAGTCATTGATAGAGACTGATTGGGAGTTTAAACACTGACTTTGAGTTAGCAAACTTCACATATGCACACTCATCCCTCCCTCCCTTCATCCATACCAACTTCTCCCTCTTTCTTTTCCCTACGGGAAACGAGAGGGTGAAAGAGATGGATGGAGACATGATGATAGAGTGATGATGATAGGACTTGATTGGAGGAGTGTAATCGTGAAGGAAGGATAAATGGAGACGTCGGAAGGCTGCAGACATCTCCCTGAGATGGAATCCGTCTGCTAGAATGTCTGGAGCTGTCAATCAAACTATGGTCTGGCCTCTGACTGGTCGATAGGCTCAGCAGGCGATTAACAGAGTACAATACAATGGCTAACACACACGCACTCTCTAAGAGTGGGCGATGAGAACCCCCGACAGAACTGGACGACAGGAGGAGGAGAGGAGGAGAGGAAAGAAGGGAGGAACGCAGGTGGGGGACGAGTCAAGCTGTTGCATGCTGGGTAGCTCCAAGAACACCTACAGCTCAGAAAAGGACATGAGGGGAAGAGGGAAGGGAGGATAGAGGATGAGAGAAAAAGGAGGAGAGAATGTAAGGGAGAAGAGTGAATGAGAGAATAGTGGGAATAAGTGAAGGGAGTTGGTAAAAGAGAGGGGGGAACTGAGAGAAGAGAGGGAAGCAGTATTGATAGACGAGGACTGTGTAAGGCAGCATACTGTTATATGCTGGTTAAATATGCTGTAATCCTCTCCCTCTCTCCCCTCATCCCTCCCTCTCTCCCCTCATCCCTCCCTCTCCATCCTATTTCCCTCTCTCCCCTCATCCCTCCCTCTCTCCCCTCATCCCTCCCTCTCCATCCTCTTTCCCTCTCTCCCCTCATCCCTCCCTCTCCATCCTCTTTCCCTCTCTCCCCCTCTCTCCCCTCATCCCTCCCTCTCCATCCTCTTTCCCTCTCTCCCCTCATCCCTCCCTCTCCCCTCATCCCTCCCTCTCCATCCTCTTTCCCTCTCTCGCTCTCTTTTGAACTTCCTCCCTCCCTCTTCCTCCATCCATCCATCCCTTCCTCCCCTCTCCATCTTACTAATTCCCTCAATTTTCCCCTTTATCTCCTTCCCTCCCTCCCTCTGTTGGTGTCTCAGAGGTCTTGTTAGAGAATCACAGTCATTTGTCTCCAGTGTTTCTTACAGCCCATTCTAAAGGCCTGGATGTTAGAGGCCACAACCCTCTGTCCCCTTCTCATCCCTCTCTTTCCCTTTCCTCTCCTCTGCTGAGTTGTCTCCTTATTTTGCCTCCACTCCTCCTTTCTCTTTTCCTCTCCTTTCATCAACTCTCCTGAGTCCTCTCCTTATTTTGCCTCTCCTCTACAGAGTCATCTTCTGTTCCATCTCTCCTTTTCACTCCCCTCTGCTCTTGTCCTTTCTTACCCCCGTTTCCCTCCTTCCCAAATCAACTCAAATTAACCCCAAGACTCGCCCAAATACCACCCCCAACAACCCTCCCAAATACAAGTACCCCAAGGACCCCTTCAACACCTGCCACAGATACTTAAGGGCCCTAACAACCCCTCCACATACCCAATCCCCTCCCTACTGCACTACTTAGTACACTCCCTAGGGAACGACACAGAGTAACCTTTCTCATGCTCTTCTCTGGGTCTAATGGTGTAGCGCAGACAGTACTAGTGCAGACAGTCTTCCTAGAAAAGGTATAGTTTAAAGTGGAGGTACATACAGTCTAAGTGACATTGGATACATTTACATTTAAGTAATTTAGCAGACGCTCTTATCCAGAGCGACTTACAGTTAGTGAGTGAATAATAATTTTTTTTCATACTAATCCAGTGTTTTCCACAAGCCAAATAGAAAAAGTAGCAAGCCAGGCTCGCCCGGCTGGGGTGTTTTCTGGTACATTCTAATGCTAGACTGTATTTTCAGCAACTATCAGGAAATAACATTGATCAAATGTTTTCACACTTTTACAGTGTTAGTTTCATCAGCTGTTGTACAGAGGAGAGGAAAGGTCGTCGGAGGGCATAGCGCCGGAGAAGATGGCTGCCGTTTTAGAGCCCTCTAACCAATTGTACTATTATGTGTGTTTTTTTGCGTTATTTGTAATTTATTCTGTACATAATGTTTCTGCCACCGTCTCTTATGACCAAAAAGAGCTTCTGGATATCAGGACAGCGATTACTCACCTCGTATTGGATGAAGATTTTTTCATCAACGAGCCGGACGCGAAGGATATCCTACAGACACCCGACAAGGCCCAAATCCCTGTCATTCGCATGAGAAAGAGACAGATATCGTGGACGTAGGTCGGGGTGCCTTGTAAGGATCCGACGGCGAGAGAGTAAACTGCCTCTTCCATCAATCCTATTAGCCAATGTTCAATCATTTGAGAACAAATTGGACGACCTAAGATTACAGTTATCCTACCAACGGGACATTAAAAACTGTATATTCTTATGTTTCACCGAGTCGTGGCTGAACGACGACATGGACAACATACAGCTGACGGGATATACGCTACATCGGCAGGATAGAACGGCTGACTCTGGTAAGACAAGGGGTGGCGGTCTGTGTATATTTGTGAACAACAGCTGGTGCACAAAATCTAATACTAAGGAAGTCTCGAGGTTTTGCTCGCTTGAGGTAGAGTATCTCATGATAAGCTGTAGACCACACTATTTACCAAGAGACTTTTCATCTATATTTTTCGTAGCTGTCTATCTACCACCACAAACCGATGCTGGCATTAAGATTGCACTCAATGAGCTGTATAAGGCCATAAGTAAACAGGAAAACGCTCATCCAGAGGCAGCGCTCCTAGTGGCCGGGGACTTTAATGTAGGGAAACTTACATCCGTTCTACCTAATTTCTAACAGCATGTTAAATGTGCAACCAGAGGAAAAAAAACTCTAAACCACCTTTACCTTAAAACTAAAGCAGGAAGCACCAGTGACTTGGTTAATAAAAAAGTGGTCAGATGATGCAGATGCTAAGCTACAGGACTGTTTTGCTAGCACAGACTGGAATATGTTCCGGGATTCTTCAGATAGCATTGAGGAGTACACCACATCAGTCACTGGCTTCATCAATAAGTGCATCAATGACGTCGTCCCCACAGTGACCGTACGTACATACCCCAACCAGAAGCCATGGATTACAGGCAACATCCGCACTGAGCTAAAGGGTAGAGCTGCCGCTTTCAAGGAGCGGGACTCTAACCCGGACGCTTATAAGAAATCCCGCTATGCCCTCCGACGAACCATCAAACAGGCAAAGAGGCAATACAGGACTAAGATCGAATCGTACTACACCGGTTCTGACGCTCGTCGGATGTGGCAGGGCTTGAAAACTATTACAGACTGCAAAGGGAAGCACAGCCGCGAGTTGCCCAGTGACACAAGCCTACCAGACGAGCTAAATTACTTCTATGCTCGCTTCGAGGCAAGCAACACTGAAGCATGCATGAGAGCATCAGCTGTTCCGGGTGACTATGTGATCAAGCTCTCTGTAGCCGATGTGAGTAAGACTTTTAAGCAGGTCAACATTCACAAGGCCGCAGGGCCAGATGGATTACCAGGACGTGTACTCCGAGCATGTGCTGACCAACTGGCAAGTGTCTTCACTGACATTTTCAACATGTCCCTGACTGAGTCTGTAATACCAACATGTTTCAAGCAGACCACCATAGTCCCTGTGCCCAAGGACACTAAGATAACCTGCCTAAATGACTACCGACCCGTAGCACTCACGTCTGTAGCCATGAAGTGCTTTGAAAGGCTGGTCATGGCTCACGTTAACACCATTATCCCAGAAACCCTAGGCCCACTCCAATTTGCATACCGCCCCAACAGATCCACAGACGATGCAATCTCTATTGCACTCCACACTGCCCTTTCCCACCTGGACAAGAGGAACACCTACGTGAGAATGCTGTTCATTGACTACAGCTCAGCGTTCAACACCATAGTGCCCTCAAAGCTCATCACTAAGCTAAGGATCCTGGGACTAAACACCTCCCTCTGCAACTGGATCCTGGACTTCCTGACGGGCTGCCCCCAGGTGCTAAGGGTAGGTAACAACACATCTGCCACGCTGATCCTCAACACGGGGGCCCCTCAGGGGTGCGTGCTCAGTCCCCTCCTGTACTCCCTGTTCACCCATGACTGCAAGGCCAGGCAAGACTCCAACACCATCATTGAGTTTGCTGACGACACAACAGTGGTAGGCCTGATCACCGACAACGATGAGACAGCCTATAGGGAGGAGGTCCGAGACCTGGCCGTGTGGTGCCAGGATAACAACCTCTTCCTCAACGTGATCAAGACAAAGGAGATGATTGTGGACTAAAGGAAAAAATAGAGGACTGAGCACGCCCCCATTCTCATCGACGGGGCTGTAGTGGAACAGGTTGAGAGCTTCAAGTTCCTTGGTGTGCACATCACCAACGAACTATCATGGTCCAAACACACCAAGACAGTCGTGAAGAGGGTACGACAAAGCCTATTCCCCCTCAGGAGACTGAAAATATTTGGCATGGGTACTCAGATCCTCAAAAGGTTCTACAGCTGCACCATCAAGAGCATCCTGACTGGTTGCATCACGCCTGGTATGGCAACTGCTCGGCCTCCGACCGCAAGGCACTACAGAGGGTAGTGCGTACGGCCCAGTACATCACTGGGGCCAAGCTTCCTGCCATCCAGGACCTCTATTCCAGGCGGTGTCAGAGGAAGGCCCTCAAAATTGTCAAAGACTCCAGCCACCCTAGTCATAGACTGTTCTCTCTTTTACCGCACGGCAAGCGGTACCGGAACGCCAAGTCTAGGTCCAAAAGGATTCTCAACAGCTTCTACCCCCAAGCCATAAGACTCCTGAACAGCTAATCATTGCTACCCGGACTATTTGCACTGCCCCCCCCACCCCCCTCTTTTACGCTGCTGCTACTTTATTATTTATGCATAGTCACTTTAACTCTACCCACATGTACAGTGAGGGAAAAAAGTATTTGATCCCCTGCTGATTTTTTACGTTTGCCCACTGACAAAGAAATTATCAATCTATAATTTTAATGGTAGGTTTATTTGAACAGTGAGAGACAGAATAACAACAACAAAATCCAGAAAAACGCATGTCAAAAATGTTATAAATTGGTTTGCATTTTAATGAGGGAAATAAGTATTTGACCCCCTCTCAATCAGAAAGATTTCTGGCTCCCAGGTGTCTTTTATACAGGTAACGAGCTGAGATTAGGAGCACACTCTTAAAGGGAGTGCTCCTAATATCAGCTTGTTCCCTGTATAAAAGACACCTGTCCACAGAAGCAATCAATTAATCAGATTCCAAACTCTCCAAGGATGTCAGGGACAAAATTGTAAACCTACACAAGGCTGGAATGGGCTACAAGACCATCGCCAAGCAGCTTGGTGAGAAGGTGACAACAGTTGGTGCGATTATTCGCAAATGGAAGAAACACAAAATAACTGTCAATCTCCCTCGGCCTGGGGCTCCATGCAAGATCTCACCTCGTGGAGTTGCAATGATCATGAGAACGGTGAGGAATCAGCCCAGAACTACACGGGAGGATCTTGTCAATGATCTCAAGGCAGCTGGGACCATAGTCACAAAGAAAACAATTGGTAACACACTACGCCGTGAAGGACTGAAAGCGCCTGCAAGGCCCGCAAGGTCCCCCTGCTCAAGAAAGCACATATACATGCCCGTCTGAAGTTTGCCAATGAACATCTGAATGATTCAGAGGAGAACTGGGTGAAGGTGTTGTGGTCAGATGAGACCAAAATCGAGCTCTTTGGAATCAACTCAACTCGCCGTGTTTGGAGAAGGAGGAATGCTGCCTATGACCCCAAGAACACCATCCCCACCGTCAAACATGGAGGTGGAAACATTATGCTTTGGGGGTATTTTTCTGCTATGGGGACAGGACAACTTCACCGCATCAAAGGGACGATGGACGGGGCCATGTACCGTCAAATCTTGAGTGAGAACCTCCTTCCCTCAGCCAGGGCATTGAAAATGGGTCGTGGATGGGTATTCCAGCATGACAATGACCCAAAACACACGGCCAAGGCAACAAAGGAGTGGCTCAAGAAGAAGCACATTAAGGTCCTGGAGTGGCCTAGCCAGTCTCCAGACCTTAATCCCATAGAAAATCTGTGGAGGGAGCTGAAGGTTCGAGTTGCCAAACGTCAGCCTCGAAACCTTAATGACTTGGAGAAGATCTGCAAAGAGGAGTGGGACAAAATCCCTCCTGAGATGTGTGCAAACCTGGTGGACAACTACAAGAAACGTCTGACCTCTGTGATTGCCAACAAGTTGCCACCAAGTACTATGTCATGTTTTGCAGAGGGGTCAAATACTTATTTCCCTTATTAAAATGCAAATCAATTGATAAAATTTTTGACATGCGTTTTTCTGGATTTTGTTGTTGTTATTCTGTCTCTCACTGTTCAAATAAACCTACCATTAAAATTATAGACTGATCATTTCTTTGTCAGTGGGCAAACGTACAAAATCAGCAGGAAATCAAATACTTTTTTCCCTCACTGTACATATTACCTCAATTACCTCCACTAGCCGGTGCCCCCGCACATTGACTCTGCACCGGTACCCCCCTGTATATAGCCTCCCTACTGTTATTTTATTTTACTGCTGCTCTGTAGTTATTTGCTTTTCTTTTTTTTACTTAACACTTTTTTTTATTTTCTTTAAAAAATGCATTGTTGGTTAAGGGCTTGTAAGTAAGCGTTTCACTGTAATGTCTACACCTGTTGTATTCGGAGCATGTGGCAATTTGATTTATTTACAACACAGGAAAAAGGTAGAATCCTGTAAGAGTCTGCTGACTTCCACAGGCTTCAAGCTTCCTTTTAAGAGGCATTTTCTCAGCTATCTGCAATACAGGTATGATTGAAGAATGAAGCAGGTGTTAAACATGGGCTTTGCTACACAGAAAGCAGCATTTGACTACTCCACTGTCAACACGTTGATTAAATCAGTAGACCTATATTGTCTATATTTTCCCCAAGCAACTGTTCTTCTCTATGAAGTAATGATAGAAGTAGCTGATGCCAATGGGCTACATGAACACTGAAAAGGCATTTCAAGGGGTGAAATATAGCATGTATGTCATTAACTGTTCTATGGATGTGCGTGTCTGTTTACGTGTGTTTGTGTGTGTATGTGTGTGTGTGTGTGTGTGTATATATGAATGGGAGTGTGAGGGAGGAGTGAGGGATGGTGAATATGAATATGTGTAGGAGGGTGGGAGGGAATGGGTGTGTGGATGCATAGGGTGTTGTGTGGGAATGAATGAGAATGGATGAGTAAGTTGATGGCTGGATGGGGTGTAAGTGTGTCTGAGAGGAAAGAAGGGTGGGAAAAGATGGGAGGTTGGGACAAGCTTGGCTTGGGTGGGTAAGGGTGTGCAAGGATGGGAGGTAGGGACAAGCTTAGCTTGGGTGGGCAAGGATGGGAGGTTGAGACAAGTTTGGCTTGGGTGGGCAAGCGTGGGCGGTTGGGACAAGCTTGGCTTGGATGCGGTAAAGGGGGGAGGACAACTGGGAGGAGGATAAGTTTAGCTTGGGAGAGAGGGAAGGAAGGATTCATCTATACTACAATGTAAAATTATAACATTTTTGTGACTTGCAAATCTGCTGTAAAATGAATAAGAGTTCTGGTTAGATTAGAAGAGGATGTCGAGTCATTATTATTCCTTGTTTGTCATTATAGCTAAGATTCAATGGTGGTTATTGGTGAGAGTGGAGAGGGGCTCTATCCTATGGATCGGGACACGGTGGCATCACTCATCTCACTTCGGTCTTTCGGCAGACCCACACTCCCCAAGTAGAGCCCCACTAGCCCAGTGTTTCCCAAACTCGGTCCTGGGGACACCAAGGGGTGCACGTTTTGGTTTTTGCCCTAGCACTACACAGCTGATTCAAATAACAAACTCATCATTAAGCTTTGATTATTTGACTCAGCTCTGTAGTGCTAGGGCAAAAACAAAAATGTGTACCCCTTGGGGTCCCCAAGACCGAGTTTGGAAAACTCTGCCCTAGCCACTATACTTTAATTTAATTCACAAGGTGTTACAAACTGACCACAGAACTTACATTGCCTTCAGAAATTATTCACACCCATTTATTTTTTCCACATTTTGTTGCGTTACAAATTGGGATTAAAATTGATTTGTCTTTTTTTTCAACGATCTACACAAAATACTCTAATGTCATAATCGAAAAAGAAATCGTAATTTTTTAAAGATGAATGACAAATAAAACACTAATATATCTTGATTAGATAAGTATTCAACCCCCTGAGTCAATACATGTTAGAATCACCTTTGGCAGCGATTACAGCTGTGTCTTTTTGGTTAAGTCTCTAAGAGATTTATACACCTGGATTGTACACATATTTGTCCATTATTCTATTTGAAACTCTTCAAGCTCTGTCAAGTTGGTTGTTCATCATTCTAGACAGTCTTTTTCAAGTCTTGCCATAGATTTTCAAGCCGATTTAAGTCAAAATTGTAACTAGGCCACTCAGGAACCTTCAATGTCATCTTGGTAAGCAACTCCATATGACCTTGGGTTTTAGGTTATTGTCCTGCTGAAAGGTGAATTTGTCTCCCAGTGTCTGTTGGAAAGCAGACTGAACCAGGTTTTCCTCAAGGATTTTGCCTGTGCTCTACTGTTTGTTGTTTTTATCCCCCAAAAAACTCCCTAGTCCTTGCTGATGATGAGCATATCCATAACATGACACAGCCACCACCATACTTGAAAATATGACGAGTCGTACTCAGTGATGTATTGGATTTTCCCCAAACATAATGCTTTGTATTCAGGAAAAAAGTAAATTTCTTTGCCACATTTTTTGCAGTATTACTTTAGTGCCTTATTGCAAAAAGAACACATGTTTTGGAATATTTTCGTACAGACTTCCTTCTTTTCACTCTGTCATTTAGGTTCGTATTGTGGAGTAACTACAATGTGGTTGATCCATTCTCAGTTTTATCACAGCCATTAAACTCTGTAACTGTTTTAAAATCACCATTGGTCTCATGGTGAAATCCCTGAGCGGTTTCCTTTCTCTCCGGCAACTGAGTTAGGAAGGACGCCTGTATCTTTGTAGTGACTGGGTGTATTGCTACACCATCCAAAGCGTAATTAATATACATTATCTGATGAATTACAAGACATTTGGTTTTCGCCAGGCATAATGGGACCCATCTCGTCCAAAAAGTTGACTCAAGTTTGCCAAAAAGCACCTGGATGATCATCAAGACTCTTGGAAGAATGTTCTATGGACAGATGATTCAAATGTATAACTTTTTGGACGACATGGTTCCAGTAATGCCTGGCGAAAACCAAACTCTGCATTCCACAGTAAGAACATCATACCAAAGGTCAAGCGTGGTGGTGGTGGTGTGATGGTTTGTGGATGCTTTGCTGCCTCAGGACCTGGATGACTTGCCTTAATAGAAGGAACAATGAATTCTGCTCTGTATCAGAGAATTCTACAGGAGAATGTCAGACCATCCGTCTGTGAGCTGAAGCTGAAGCGCAGCTGGGTCATGCAGCAAGACAATGATCCAAAACACACAATCAAGTCTACATGAAAATTGCTAAAAAGCAACAAATTGGAAGTTTTGAAATGGCCTAGTCAAAGTCCAGACCTAATCCCAATTGAGATGTTGTGGCAGGACTTGAAACGAGCAGTTCATGCTTGAAAACCCACACGTCACTGAGTTAAAGCAGTTCTGCATGGAAGAGTGGGCCAAAATTCCTCCATAGCGACGTGAGAGACTGATCAACAACTACAGGAAGCATTTGGTTGGAGTCATTGCAGCTAAAGGTGGCACAACCAGTTATTGAGTGTAAGGGGGCAATTACTTTTTCACACAGGGGAATTGGGTGTTGTATAACTTTGTTTATGAAATAAATGAAATAAACATGTAATTGTTGTGTTATTTGTTCACTTATGTTCCCTTTATCTAATATTAGGTTTTGGTTGAAGATCTGATAACATTCAGTATCATAAATATGCAAAAGTAGAGAAAATTAGAAAAGGGGGAAAATACTTTTCATAGCACTGTATGTCAAGTTTCGTCTTTTATGTTGTATATGAAATCTGAAGAATGATGAGAGTAATTTTGTTAAGATAGGAATGATTTTAGTTTTCTAACGAGATCATCGTTTTGAGAATTGTTTGCACAAGTAATTAGCCACTCCCGAGGGAGCCGAGAGAGCGTGTCTGCATGACGGAACACCCCCTTTTAACCAGAGTGTATAAAAAGATGAGTTAAGCATTAACATATCAGACCAGACGGACTCAAGCTGAAGCTTAGGTCTCCATTGGTTACGACCCTGAAAATCAACACGAGGTGAAGACGACAAAGTCGCCTCTCTAACAATCAATGTTACGGCTGAGTAGCTGTTCTAAGTACTGTATCGAAGAAGGTGAATTTAAGTAGGACCATCCTGTTACTCTTTTCAAACCATTGTCTACTACACTTCTCTCATCACCCCACTGGGGATCATCGACATGGCTGATTAGCTGTCTTCAGAGGACCACTCTTCCAGAACGAGTGAAAGGAAACACCACCCTGTTGGTTTTCGCCCAGACTACATGACCAGTCATTTATGCCACGGACAACTAAGAAGAAGGACATTGTGACCTCTGGTGACAATCAGAGACTTCCACTCCAAGTTTGAGAGAAGGCCCAACCGGACCCTTCCCAAGAAGGCTTGGGTCCAACAGAGATAAAATTACAAAGGCAGACATTCAGACACGTAAATACATTCATGACTTCTTCTCCAAACAGGGGGCGGTTAGGGTGGAAAGTATTATGATTACCAAGAGCGTAGTTTCCAAATGCATAAGTGTTGTGGTTCTCTTTCTCTCTTTTTACTCATCCATCTTTCGGTGAACAAGCAGTCATGTGTTAGTCCACTAGGGACCCTTTTCCATTGTGTTAAGTTTCTAATCAATAACCTATACCGTGTGTGTGTGTATCCTATGTAATCATTTAGTTAGTTAGTAAATAAATAATTAAACCAATTTGTGTGGTACGGAATGATCAGTAAGGCTGGAGTTTGTGCGGATGCAAGGACTATGCGACGTTCAGAATTATTTGATCTGAGGTAATGACTAATAAGTGACTTATTGACGTAAGAGATATCTATATATCTTCTAGAGTTAATTTGGGAGATGGTAACTCGTTAAACAAATTCTCCCTTGGTGCCCCAAATCCTAATGAGTTAATTGTTACATGATTAATTTTTAATCGGGTAACAATTAAACATAGTAAATTAGAGAAATAACAGTTATCAGATGAATGTTAAATCACGTCACGACAACAGCAGTCATGTCTTAAGTGTAAAACGAACAATGACTCAATAATTCATGCCTTCTGTGAGTGCTATAAAGTCCAAAAGTTATGGGCAGAGTTAGAAGGCTGACTTTCAGAAGTTTTAAAATGTAAGTTTACTTTTAATCCGTCTATCCGTGCAGTGAGATACACAAATATTATTGCCCAACCCATTGGGTGATGTCATTAATGTTTGTTGAAATGTATGTATGTATGTACGTACGCACGCAAATGTTAAGTTGTCTATTGTTTTTGTCTATGTATGTTTTTGTTTATTGTCAAAGAAAAGTCAAAGAAAATATTACAAAAAATTAAATATTGTATAAGTATCATTACCTTTTAAAACAATTAAATCCGTTTTCTTGTATCATATTTTGGACCAGAGTGAGGAGCTCTCTCCACTAGCCTACCTTTTGTTCCTGCAGTGAGGAGGATTCACTATCTTCATAGAATGTTTATCATTTATTTGCAGATAATCGCCAAAAAGCCTAAAAGGTTGCAAATTAGGGACCCAAATGAACAGCTCTCTTACCGATGCAATTCGCTAGGCAACTGAAGAGTCACTCACTTTAACGTCACTGTCTGGCAAGTCCTAATGGACTTCAAATCGAAAATACAAATGAGATCTTTAGTTTACTTGTCCGGATGCGATACCATGGAAATATACACTGAACAAAATCATTAACGCAACATGTAAAATGTTGGTCCCATGTTTCATGAGCTGAAATAAAAGATCCAAGAAATGTTCCATACGCACAAAAAACGTATTTCTCTAAAATGTTGTGCACAAATTTGTTTACATCCCTGTTAGTGAGCATTTTTCCTTTGCCAAGATAATCCATCCACCTGACAGGTGTGGCATATCAAGAATATGATTAAACAGCATGGTCATTACACAAGTGCACCTTGTGCTAGGGACAATAAAAGGCCACTCTACAATGTGCAGTTATGTCACTAACACAGTGCCACAGATGTCTCAAGTTTTGAGGGATCACGCAATTGGGATGCTGACTGCAGGAATGTCCACCAGAGCTGTTACCAGATAATTGTATGTTAATTTATCTACCATAGGCCGCCGCCAACGTCGTTTTAGAGAATTTGGCAGTACGTCCAACTGGCCTCACAACCACAGACCACGTGTAACCACGCCAGCCCAGTCCTTCACCTGCAGGATCGTCTGAGCCCAGCCACCCGGACAGCTGATCATACTGTGGGTTTGCACAACCAAATAATTTCTGCACAAACTGTCAGAAACCGTCTCAGGGAAGCTCATCTGCGTGCTTGTCGTCCTCACCAGGGTCTTGACCTGACTGCAGTTCGGTGTCGTAACCGACTTCAGTGGGAAAATGCTAGCCTCCACTGTACTCTTCTCGGATGAATCCCGGTTTCAACTGCACCGGGCAGATGGCACTGTCGGGTGAGCGAGCGGTTTGTGAACAGAGTGCCCCATGATAGCGGTGGGGTTATGGTATGGGTAGGCATAAGCTACGGACAATGAACACTATTGCATTTTATCGATGGCAATTCGAATGCACAGAGATACCGTGACGAGATTCTGAGGCCCATTGTCGTGCCATTCATCCGGTGCCGCCACCTCATGTTTCAGCCTGATAATGCACGGCCCCATGTCGCTAGGATCTGTACACAATTCCTGGAAGCTGAAAATGTCTCAGTTCTTCCTCCAGACATGTCACCCATTGAGCATGTTTGGGAAAGGGAAAGGGGGATATCTGATGCTCTGGATCGACGTGTACAGTGTGTTCCAGTTCCCAACAATATCCAGCAACTTCACACAGCCATTGAAGAAGAGTGGGACAACATTCCACAGTCCACAATCAACAACCTGATCAACTTTATGCAAAGGAGATGTGTCGCGCTGCATGAGGCAAATGGTGGTCACACCAGATACTGACTGGTTCCTGATCCACGGCCCTATTTTTTTTTTTAAGGTATCTGTGACCAACAGATATACAGTGGGGGGAAAAAGTATTTAGTCAGCCACCAATTGTACAAGGCCTGTAATTTTCATCATAGGTACACGTCAACTATGACAGACAAAATGAGGAGAAAAAATCCAGAAAATCACATTGTATGATTTTTAATGAATTTCTTTGCAAATTATGGTGGAAAATAAGTATTTGGTCAATAACAAAAGTTTCTCAATACTTTGTTATATACCCTTTATTGGCAATGACACAGGTCAAACGTTTTCTGTAAGTCTTCACAAGGTTTTCACACACTGTTGCTGGTATTTTGGCCCATTCCTCCATGCAGATCTCCTCTAGAGCAGTGATGTTTTGGGGCTGTCGCTGGGACAACACGGACTTTCAACTAGTGGCTAGGCCACTCCAGGACCTTGAAATGCTTCTTATGAAGCCACTCCTTCGTTGCCCGGGCGGTGTGTTTGGGATCATTGTCATGCTGAAAGACCCAGCCACGTTTCATCTTCAATGCCCTTGCTGATGGAAGGAGGTTTTCACTCAAAATCTCACGATACATGGCCCCATTCATTCTTTCCTTTACACGGATCAGTCGTCCTGGTCCCTTTGCAGAAAAACAGCCCCAAAGCATGATGTTTCCACCCCCATGCTTCAAAGTAGGTATGGTGTTCATTGGATGCAACTCAGCATTCTTTGTCCTCCAAACACGACGAGTTGAGTTTTTACCAAAAAGTTCTATTTTGGTTTCATCTGACCATATGACATTCTCCCAATCCTCTTCTGGATCATCCAAATGCACTCTAGCAAACTTCAGACGGGCCTGGACATGTACTGGCTTAAGCAGGGGGACACGTCTGGCACTGCAGGATTTGAGTCCCTGGCGGCGTAGTGTGTTACTGATGGTAGGCTTTGTTACTTTGGTCCCAGCTCTCTGCAGGTCATTCACTAGGTCCCCCCGTGTGGTTCTGGGATTTTTGCTCACCGTTCTTGTGATCATTTTGAGCCCCAGATCGAGGGAGATTATCAGTGGTCTTGTATGTCTTCCATTTCCTAATAATTGCTCCCACAGTTGATTTCTTCAAACCAAGCTGCTTACCTATTGCAGATTCAGTCTTCCCAGCCTGGTGCAGGTCTACAATTTTATTTCTGGTGTCCTTTGACAGCTCTTTGGTCTTGGCCATAGTGGAGTTTGGAGTGTGACTGTTTGAGGTTGTGGACAGGTGTCTTTTATACTGATAACAAGTTCAAACAGGTGCCATTAATACAGGTAACGAGTGGAGGACAGAGGAGCCTCTTAATGAAGAAGTTACAGGTCTGTGAGAGCCAGAAATCTTGCTTGTTTGTAGGTGACCAAATACTTATTTTCCACCATAATTTGCAAATAAATTCATTAAAAATCCTACAATGTGAATTTCTGGATTTTTTCCCCTCAATTTGTCTGTCATAGTTGACGTGTACCTATGATGAAAATTACAGTCCACTCTCATCTTTTTAAGTGGGAGAACTTGCACAATTGGTGACTGACTAAATACTTTTTTCCCCCACTGTATATCTGTATTCCCAGTCATGTGAATCCATAGATTAGGGCCTTATGAATGTATTTCATTTGACTGATTTCCTTATATGAACTTTAACTCAGTAAAATCTTTGAAATTGTTGCATGTTGCGTTTATATTTTTATACAACTACGTTGTATGATTTACGAATGGCAAGGATATATGAGATCGACTTTATTCAGTCAGTTCGACACCTTTTGTAAACTAGTCAAGCTTGCTGTTTGTCAATCAAAGCACAGTAAATAGCCTATGCGCCACCACCCTGTGGCTGCATATGAAACACGCCAAGGTCGAACGTTAACTTTTTTTTCTCACTGGCCCGACCAGAATTTCTACCGGCCCGGACATTGTGTAGTTCTTAAATGCATTGGGGTCATCAGGACCTATAGGTTGGCATGCTTTCTCTCTATATTCAGCTATTACGGTAATAGGCTACATTTGGTTATTATGATATGTATTAAAAAACTGTGTAATATAATTTAGCAATGCAAGTCCTTACTCTATTCTTTAGAAATTGCATTATATTAATTGCATTCATTTTTGTTTCTAAAGTAGGTACACTACATGACCAATAGTATGTGGACCCTGCTCGTCGAACATCTCATTCCAAAATCATGGGCATTAACATGGAGTTGGTTCCCCGTTTGCTGCTATAACAGCCTCCACTCTTCTGGTAAGGCTTTCCATTAGATGTTGGAACATTGCTGCGGGGACTTGCTTCCATTCAGTCACAAGAGCATTAGTGAGGTTGGGCACTGATGTTGGGCGATTAGGCCTTGCTCGCAGTCGGCGTTCCAATACATCCTGAAGGTGTTTGATGGGGTTGAGGTCAGGGCTCTGTGCAGGCCAGTCAAGTTCTTCAACACCAATCTCGACAAACCATTTCTGTATGGACCTCGCTTTGTGCACGGGGGCATTGTCATGCTGAAACAGGAAAGGGCCTTCTCCAGACGGTTGCCACGAATTTAGAAGCACAGAATCGTCTAGAATGTCATTGTATGCTGTAGCGTAGCGTTAAGATTTGCCTTCACTGGAACTAAGGATCCTGAACCATGAAAAACATTGCAAGAGGAATGCCAGGTGACTTTTTGTAGCTTTCTTTTTGCAGACTATCAACAGTAGCCAGCATATTGCTAGTATGTTCACTATTGGAGCTTCACTTTTATAAATCACTTTCCCTAAAATAAAAAAGCTCAGCGAGACATCAACTCATGTACTGCTCGAGAAGTTGTGACTAGCTGGAGCGTGGTGGTGCTTGAATGAACGCCCAATCAGATTTCTCAAATACAAATAGCATGACATTTACGTGTGTAGTCTTCAATGGTCCCATGTAGCTCAGTTGGTAGAGCATGGCGCTTGCAACGCCAGGGTTGTGGGTTCGTTAACCACGGGGGGCCAGTATGAAAATGTATGCACTCACTAACTAAGTCGCTCTTGGATAAGAGCGTCTGCTAAATGACTAAAATGTTAAATGTAAATAGACTGCGACAGAGCAGGTAAATTATGAACTGGAATGCAAAAATGCGCTGAAAAGATACTGGGGCCAGTGACTGACGAGATCCACTGGCCCAGCATGTTTTAGTGGCCCCGGGCCAGCAAGCCATCGTTAATGTCAGACCCTGCATGTGAAATAAAATAACTGAATGAACCAGAAAACAATAGGCTATGTGGATTTCGACTCATCATTACCACATTATATTGGACGTGCAAATTCACTCACATTATATGGGACGTGCAATTTCATGCTCTCTCCCTCCGTGTAGAAATTCAACTGCAAACACAGCACGCACACACCCAGGTACTGAGAGGCGGGACCGACAGCAGACTGTCAAACCATTAGTGTTTCCCTGTCATCGCTCACTTTGTGACTGACAGGCGCCTGTCCTATCAATAGATTGCTAGAATATGCATATCGTTCATTCTAGCAGGATCGGGCTCAGCAGACTTTTTTTCTGACTAGCGAATTGAAAAGTAGCCTAGTTAATTTAAGTGGAAAAAGTACCCGGCTGAAAATGACTCTGTAAATCGGCTGTATAGCCGACATCCGGCACTAGTGGAAAATACTGCTAATCCCTATTCCCTTACGATAGAAAGAGCAAGTGAGTTAGAGAGAGGGTGTGAAAAGGAAGACTAAAGAAGAAAGACTGAGAAAGGGAAAGAGATTCAGTGCGAAAGATAGAGAGTGTAAGAGAGATCAGGTACTTGTTAAAAGACGATGTGTGTTTACTTGTAACCGTTGTAAAAAGATTAGGCACAACCAGCAACCCTGATAATCAACCCATATTGGCCTTTAATAGAACATTTACCAACATTTTGCACACAGCAATTACAATCAAGGCCAATTTTACACATCATTGTCTGAAGCATTAATTTATTTGGGGGGTTAGGGGTGCTTCTAAACTCTAGAGCAGGGGTATTCAACTCTTACCCTACGAGGTCCAGAGCCTGCTGGCTTTCTGTTCTACCTGATAATTAACTGCACCCACCGGGTTTCCCAGGTCTAAATCAGGTCTAAAACAATGAATAAACGCTGTGGAACTGGCTTAGAGGTCCAGAGTTGAGTTTGAGGGCTCTAGAGTGTAGCAATGAATAGAAATGGAATAAACAAAGTATGTGTGTGTGCGCGCTTGTGCTAGAATGCATCAAACTGTACACAGCTCATTCCCCACAATTAACCCTGCCTTGCCTCAGCCCTGACTAACAGATGACTTCATGATTAGAATTGAATTAAACTACATCTTCTCTCACTCTGCCTAATGTGTCGTGGAGAACACTCTCCCCTTCTCACGCTTCTTCCTTTGTTATTTTATTTCCTCATCTTTCCTTCGCTCTCTTCTCTTTCTCTCATGTCCTTCATTCGCTCTTTTCCCTCCTCCCTTTCTCCTCCACCTTATCCGCCTCTCTTTTTCCCCTCCTCGCCCTGTAAATGAGATTCCTCCTCCACCTTACCTCCCTCTCTTTTACCCTCCTCCCTTCCTCCTGGCCACCCTTATCCTTCCCCTCATCTTTTCCCCTCCGTCCCTTTTCTTCGCCTCCTACCTTATCCTCCCTCTCTTTTCCCTCCTCCCTTTCTCCTCCACCTTATCCTCCCTCTCTTTTCCCTCCTCCCTTTCTCCTCCACCTTATTCTCCCTCTCTTTTTCTCCTCCTTTCCTCTCTCCCTCTTCCCCTCTCTCTCCCTCCCTTCCTCTCCTATCAGATGTTATGGGAACATTAGTTCTCCCTCTAGGGCGCGATATTGTACTCAGGAGGCCTGTTAAATCAGGGGTTCCCAACCAGGGGTACTAGGACCCCTGGGGGTACTTGCCCTATCCATAGGCGGTACTTGAGAAGACTCATGAGACCATAGGCTTACTGGTAAAACGCACATGAGGGGGGTACTTACATTTACATTTACATTTTAGTCATTTAGCAGACGCTCTTATCCAGAGCGACTTACAGTTAGTGAATACATATTATATATATATATATATATATATATATTTTTTTTTTTTCATACTGGTCCCCCGTGGGAATCGAACCCACAACCCTGGCGTTGCAAACGCCATGCTCTATCAACTGAACTACATCCCTGCCGGCCATTCCCTCCCCTACCCTGGACAACGCTAGGCCAATTGTGCGCTGGCCATGAGTCTCCCGGTCGCGGCCGGCTGCGACAGAGCCTGGATTCGAACCAGGATCTCTAGTGGCACAGCTAGACCACTGCGCCACTCAGGGGAACTCTGGGCAGAGCAAAATTCTGCCCGTCCAAGGCTTCTCCCCTGTGATGTGTGTGTGTTTGTGTCCAATGGTACTGCTAATTACTTCCTGTTTTGTCTGCATCTGGAGATGCATCTCTGTGGTACCCTCTTTCTTTCGTTCCTTCTTTCTCTCTCTCAATATAGGCTCGTTAAAATGAGAACCTCTCTCCTTCCATTCATGACGATATCGGCCCCACCAAGGGTTTCTATTTTCTCTCCCTCTTTCTTCGCTCCTCATTTTAAACCCCAGAAACATCAGAAGGTCCTGCATTATCCCTAACCCTCTTAGCTAGAGTTGAAATTGCTCTCTCCCAGAACTTCCAGTGCATTTGAACATGGATCCCAACGGTCTCCTTTTATTTTCTCTCTTTTCTCTTGTGGGGCATTATTCTACTCATGGCTTATCCAGTGCTGCAGAGATTCTCTCTACTAGTTCATTTGTACTGGTTGTTACTGGTGCTGGAGGTAATCCTTATTGACTATCTCTATGATGTGATCTACTATATGTTCCCATTACCCCACTGAACTGAGATACCACCAAGGTACATCTTACAATGTAAATAAATTAGCATTATAGCATTTACTTTCCAAAGAAATGATTGCTAACAGCAGCAGACTACCTCACCATTACGATAACATAATTGTATTGAGTGTGTGGGTGTGTTGGTGTGCGTGCGCACACGTGTCAGCAGGCAGCCACTCGCAAAGTATAGGCTGCTGCGGTCATTCTCAGTGGCAATAGGCTATGTTGTTCAAAGTGGATAGAGAGGCCGCCGTAATGAGAGAAAAATCATATACTAGGCCTACTGGAAAAATAATATACTACTGAAAATATGAGGATAATTATGCTATAGGATGAATCATGAAAGGAGCGTGGCTACGTTTCATTCTTTGCACCCCATTTAATAAGAGAGGAAACGCAAAACTGGCACCTGTCATCATGCCTCAATTGCACATGCCGACCATCATGATGCTTGCTGCCTACAGTTTTCTTTCTACCTGATTAAAGAGATGAAGTCCAGATAGGCTAGACCAATTTCAGGAAACTTTCTGAATGGACATAGAGATAATTAACAAACTCATACGTGCACACCCACCCACCTAAAAGGACCAATCAATCAAAGCCGCCTGCAGCGCATTTCACTCAAATCACATTTCACCTTTCTCAAAAAACGTATTAAAAACCTTGTCTTAGCTTCAAATCCTTTCTGTAGGATATCAAAAACGAGTCTACATTATAGGATAATGCTAAATCAACGTACCCTATCATATAAATTGACGAGGAAAGTTATGGGGAGATATGGAGACAGCTGTGATATAGGCCTAGGCTATATGAAGATGACATTGACAACCATTAGAAAATAGAAACACATGCACGCAACCCATCCATATTCTATCTGCCGTTGATCCATTTTTGTGAAGCAATGGGTGTTTATCTTGACACCAGGCCTACATTTTAATTTGAGTGAGTGCTTTATCTAAATCTGTGCAACCACTTATTGATAAGGGTAGCCTAAACTCTGGCGGATATTTCACTGTTCCCTTCTTGTAATTGATGAATCTCCTCTGGCAACTCACCTATCTCTTCCCCCTCTCTCTAGCTGTTGTTTGAGAGCAATTGTTTTGTACTGTTTAAACGAACAAAGTTTTACAATATCATGGAAAGAACAAATATAGTTTAAGCAGGGCTCTACAACCCTGTTCCTGGGGAGCGTCCTGTAGGTTTTTGTTCCAACCCTAATCTAGAGCACCTAATTCTAATAATTAGCTGGTTGACAAGCTGAATCAGGTTAGTTACAACTAGGGTTAAAACAAAAACCTACAGGAACAGGGTTGGAGAGGCTTGGTTTATTTAAACAAGAGACATTGTGTTTGTAGCCTGCGTGTGGCAAAAACCTTCCTGTCGTTTAGATCTTCAGGCTATAGGTTGTTTGCATGAGATTAAATGTTTTGCTCAGTCTGTTTTAACGAGAAAAACGATTGAATAAGTTATTATTCAATTTTCATCTCAATTAGACCGATCTGGTGTAATAAAGGTGAAATTCCTGGTTAAATAAAAAATAATTAAGCTGGTTAAATATAAAAATAAAGGTTAAATTGGTCTAGATCTTTGCATGCAGCAAACCTATAGGCATATGCGCTTTCATTAGCCTTTGTTGCTTTGTAGAGCAGTGTGAAATTAACTCAGTCTCCAAAAATTCCCATTCTAACGAAAACGAGTTTAAATGGCTTTATTATATAGCCTATATAATTAAAGCCTTATTATTATAAATCTGCTCGCCTCGCACACACCTTCACAGTGCGCAGGCAGCCTCCTTTCGGCACACAACACACAAACACACATTTTTAAAATCTGCCTGACCGCCCGCAGCATGAAAAATGCAGACTGTGCCGCAATGATCTCTGTCAGAGCCCCTGGGTCCAGCGGTAATGCAGCCCTCTACCCCTATGCAATGGCCAGGTTACCCAACAGCTACCCCAGTGAAAAATTCCTGCCACCACCGCTGAGCAGGACTGTGGTTCTAAGAGGTAGGCTAAAAGATTTGCTCATTGGTAGTGGTGTGTTAAGCCAACAAGAAATACTCAGCTATCAAACATCCCCACTTTTATAGGTCTGGCATACATTTGCGTTTAGGCAAATTAGCCTTATTATATTTCCGTGCTGAGGATGCGTGATCACTCAGCATTGACAGGACAGAGGAACCAGAAAAGACAATGAAGACATTGCCAAAAAAACAGGAGCTCAGTAGAAGATTTGAGGTGCTGGTAGGCTACTCAGCTCAGGTGACGACCTGCCCAAGTCAAGCACTGGATATAAATGATCAGGCTATGTAACGGGCAATTGATACATTAAAGAGATACTTCTGGATTTTGGCAATGATGCCCTTAATTTACTTCCCCAGAGTCAGATGAACTGGTGGATACCATTTTTATGTCTCTGTGTCTAGTATGAAGGAAGTTAGAGGTAGTTTCACGAGCCAATGCTAACTAGCCTTAGCACAATGACTGGAGGGACTTTCAGTCACTTTTGTGAGACGCGGTGTGGGTAAACTTTTGTGAGACGCGGTGTGGGTAAACGGATGATCTCCGCATGTGTATTTCCCGGAGGAGGAGGTGTTATGGTGTGGGGGTGCTTTGCTGGTGACACTGTCTGTGATTTATTCTGCAGCGATACGCCATCCCATCTGGTTTGGCCTAAGTGGGACTATCATTTGTTTTTCAACAGGACAATGACCCAACCCACCTCCAGGCGGTGTAAGGGCTATTTTACCAAGAAGGAGAGTGACGGAGTGCTGCATCAGATGACCTGGCCTCCACAATCCCCCGACCACAACCAAACTGAGATGGTTTGGGATGAGTCGGACCGCAGAGTGAAGGAAAAGCAGCCAACAAGTGCTCAGCATATGTGGGAACTCCTTCAAGACTGTTGGAAAAGCATTCCAGGTGAAGCTAGCTGAGAGAATGCCAAGAATGTGCAAAGCTGTCATCAAGGCAAAGGGTGGCTATTTGAACCTCAAATATAAAATATATTTAGATTTGTTCAACACTTCTTTGGTTACTACATGATTCCATATGTGTAATTTCATAGTTTTGATGTCTTCACTATTATTCTACAATGTAGAAAATAGTAAAAATCAAGAAAAACCCTTGAATGAGGAGGTGTTCTAAAACTTTTGACCGGTAGTGTTCATCTACACAGTAGCCTAATGGTGGCTGGCTGCAAATCAACTAGCCTAATCTTTTTTTATAGAGGTGATAGGCCTATTTTAGCTAAATCGACACAAATTTAATTGATTAGATTACTCTGCCAATAAATACAAAAAATCCAGAATGTACATGTAGAAGTCTGTAGGGCGTTCATGGTGAGATCTATAATAATAAACGTACAACTTACACGCGACATGTAAGTGTCACATGTACACGTGACACTTTTAAAAATTAAAATAAACAAATAAAACAATAAACCCGAACCAGCACTTGCACCATTCAAATAATGATAACCATTATGTTGTTATGTAGTTAAATTGTTAAAAACTAAGTCAAATTGATTGTATGGTTGTATAATGTATTTGTTATTGAATACATGGTTGTCTCTGAGAAAATGTCTCATCAAAATGTTCAAATTTAATTATATTTATTATTGGCATAAAATATAGGCCTCTTTGACCTAAAATAATTGGTATCGGCCATTAAAAACCAATATCGGTCATTCTCTAAATCAGTAGCTTAATTTGGATTATTTTAGGCCTTAATCACTCGCGATACAGCAAGGCCACTGTGCCTGACATTTAAACAACACGATGTTAGCCAACACCCCAGGCACTGTCACAACCAGCCCTGCTGTGTGTGTGTGTGTGTGTGTGTGTGTGTGTGTGTGTGTGAGAGAGACTGTGTGTGAGTATGAAAGTGTGTGTGTATGTGTGAGATGAATTTGACAACCTGACCTTTTGGTATGATTGCTGTAACACTCATTATGAGACAAACTTAAGGACAAGAGGATGTGTCACTCCCAAATAACTCAGAAATCATTTAAATAAGCAATAAGGCCCGAGGGAGTGTGTAATTATAAGTAATTTAGAATAAGTAATAACTAACTTGTAATAACTCATTAAGACGGGTTGGTCAGGATGTACTGTACTGGTGGATTGCTGCTTCAAACTGCCTAAGGATGGATTGAGCCCTTAATTCGTACCTTTACATTTTAGTCATACCTTGTGTGGAAGGAACAGAGAGTTGACTGTTGCTAGCAGACTGGAGGTGTCCAGGGCATCCCTCTGGCCACAGATGACTATCTAGAGAGAGAGAGAGAGAGAGAGAGCAAGGTGGAAGAGAAGAGAGAAGTGAAAGAACATTAAAGGGAGAATGAATTAATGAATGATGCGGAAAATATACTAAGACAGAGAAGAAAGACTGAGCGAGAGAGCAATAAAGAGGTTTAGGAAAGAGAGGAATAGAGAATAGAAGAGATAGAGAGAAACAGAGCGAGAAAGAGAGAGAGAAAAACAGTGAGAAAAAGAGAGAAGGATCCAGAGAGAGGTAGAGCTAGAGAGGTCAGTGGTGGTTGTAGCAGTAACGAGAGAGGAGAAGGTGTGTTCTGGGCTCGGCTAACCTTGTCTGATCCCTAGCTTGTTATCATCCGCCCCCTATCTGACTTACACACACACACACACACACACACACACACACACACACACACACACACACACACACACACACACACACACACACACACACACACACACAGCTTGTTATCTCCGCCCCCTCGATGACTTCTCCTCCGCAGGTGAAATATGATGGACAGAACACTTCCAATGTTCTTGCCTTTTTTCTTTCTCTCTGTAAATGTTTTTTCCTCTCCTTTTTTAGCACAAATATCCAGCCGTAGGATAAAAGTTTAGTTTGTTCCACTCCAAACTATACAACTTTGAGTTTGTGTGTGTGTGTTTGGGTGGACCGTACATGTGTGTTACCTGTTTGAGTGTGTAGTGGTTAGCCATCAGGCCCCTGACCATCTCTGGCAGGGCTATGGGGACTCTGGTCAGCCGGTCAGAAAAGGCAGCCAGTAGCTGTTGTGACCGCTGTGACCAGTCCTTACGACCACTGTAGTGGGACAGACGCAGCAGGTTCAAGGCAGACACAGAGTTAGCACTGGGCTCTGCACCGTCCTGGTCTGAGAGAAACAGAGACATAAAGACAGTCATTTCATGTTAGTGAAAGATCAAAAAGTGTATACTGTTTTGTATTCAGACTCAGAGCCAACTTCAACTTTTCAAATGAAATATCTTTGACAAGTGACTCTTGCAGTAAGATTAAATGCTAATCTACATAAATTTGCTCGGGAAAACATTTGTTCTGATTATGCCTGAGTGTGTGGATGTGCCTGTATGTGTGCGTGCGTGTGTGTGTGTGCGCGCATGTGTGTCAGACGTGACGTGTGAGTTGATATGAAGTGACTGACAGGTGCCCTCATGACTCAGTCCTGTTAAGTGATTGGTGTTTATCTCCTTTTGGCGGCCAATGAGATTACAGCGCTGCTCTTCTCATTAGTGATGGGGGGGGGGGGGTAATAAAAAAAATTGATAGTTACATATCGGGATATTATTTTTGATGACATATCGTATCGACAATAATGCAATATTATGGTGATGGTGATGACTGACACAAGCCATCCGCTTTTGATTCAGACAGACAAACATACACACACACAAGGGAACACGTGCACCAACACATGCGAGAGGCTATAGTCCACTAAATAATTTTATACATTTCATTTCATACTGTGAGCCCCAAGCAGGAGGCCTATGCACACACAGTCATGCATAACCACATGGGGGGATATAGGGTCCACTAAATCGTTTTTCATATCTCTCCTCACCCTGTGCCCCATGGCAGAAATCATACACACAAGTAACAGTGGATTGCCATGAAAAACACACACACGGCAGAGAGGGGTGGAACGGGGTGAGACACACACAGCTTTGGGTCAGGATGTAAAATACAGAGTGCCACTGGACTGTAGGGCAATCCATCTTCCTGTGACAGAAACTCACACACACACACACACAGCGACGTAGCGTCACTAATGGAGCTGAATTCAACGCATTGCGAGCAACATAATGGTCCCGTCAATGCTCAGAGATGAGAAAGGCCTCGCATGTCACGTCTAATCACACACACAGGCACGGGCGCACACACACACACACACACACACACACACACACACAAAAAATGTGCAGTCGCACACACACACAAACACAAGTCAGTTTTAATCTGTCAACAGGCTAAAACAAGAATAATTATTATATTTTTCGCTTTTTTATCTTTCCATTTTCCTTTTTTTTCTACCTTGGTATCCAACTCTTGTCAGAGCCATTTGCACAGTGCCATTAGTCAAGAGGCAAGGCAGTGTGTTTGTTTGTGCTAGTGTTTGTGCTATTGTCGGTCTGTCTGCTTGTGTGCATGTGTACTTGTTTTCCTACCTTATAAGGACCTAAATGTCCTAACAATTCACCTGAATGTCCTGACAAGGTAGGAAAACTAGAACCTTTTCATGTCCTGAATTTGTTCAAATGCTATTTTAAGCTTAAGGGTTAGGTTTAGAGTTTTGGCGTTAAGGTTAGGGCTAGGGTTTTTGGGGTTAAGGTTAGGGTTAGGGTAAATAGCATTTTAATGGTCAAAAATGTGTACTCCCCAAAAAGTCCTGAAATGTCATGAACATAAAGCTATGTGTGCACATCTATCCAATTACTGGATATAAAACATGGAGCTGTGGCATTCAGAACATTAGACCTGGCGCTTTTACACAAACATATTTTTTTCTCCAGGACAGAAAAACACCAGTCTCCTGGCAAACATGACATATTGAGTGGGTATTGATAAATCACAGTTAAAGTGATATCGAAGAGCCATTCCTCATGACTTTTCTACCCAACATTATTGAGAGAGACTCACCCTGCTTGAGTCGTAGCAGTACGGTGGGGTCTGTGGGGTCACTGCAGTAGTAGCCCCCTCCCTCTGCATCCCAGAAGAGGAGGTCCTGTCTGTCCTGTAGCTCCTCCCCCCAGCGAAGCCACTCTGGCTGCAGCGTGGCCTCATACAGGTCCAGCAGACCACAGATAACGTACGCATAGTCGTCTAGGAAACCAGCAATGGGTGACGCGCTGAGAGACAAAAGGAGAGATATGAATCAAGGATTTATTGATGAATCAAGAAATGATTGATAAATCAATTATTAGTTGTATGGAAATACTGTTTATAAACTGTATAACAAATGTCTGTGTGTGTCAGAAATAATACATTTTTACACTGGCTGTTACCATCTTGTATTTCAACCCCAGTACCCACAGAAAGTCTTTATTCAACTATACCCCTCTTCCAGAACTATCTTTCCTAGGCTCCTGTGAGTCCCTCAAACACCCCCACCTGCCCTGCCCTCCATCCTCCACCCCGTAACCTTCCACCCACCCCCCACCCCGCCCGCCCGTCCCCTAGGTTCCCAGCCTGTCTCGTAGGGTGGCACCCCCGACAAGGTGAGTGTGGGGGACAAACGGTGACAGGAGAGCAGATAGCCCTGTGTCTAGGGAATGTGGATGGGTGAGGTGGGCGGTGGAGCGGGCATATCCATCTTTCCATGAGTCAGCCAACACTTCACCTAACAGGACTTCCCAGGTTGAGGAGAGGGGTGAGAGGAATTTAGGAGACTCACACCAACATCCCAAATGGCCCCTTATTTTCTATGTAGTGCACTACTTTTGACCAGAGCCCTTAGGGAATAGGGTGCCATTTGGGATGCACCCGTAACAACAGACTGTCATTTATTCCAAGTTTGAAGGTAAGGTAGATAGAGGAAGAGGAAGAAGGACAAGCGATGGAGAGATTATGACATTAATGGGGTGAGAGAGAGGGATTTATGAAAAAGGAGACAGGTGATGTGGAGAGAGATGGTCTCTGCTCTCACCCCTGTGTGTCAGCCAGAAGAACTGTTGGGGAAACCCACACGTCATCTAGCTCCAGTCAATCAGATGGAAAACCTTTCAGCCTGAAGAGGCCTTCACACACACACACACACACACAGGCGCACGTACACATGCATACACATGACCCTGAGTATGTATTTGGTTTGATGACTCACTTCCATACTATATGAGCGCACACACTCTTTTTATGATTTAAAACTGAGAATTCACTTTAATGTGTTTACTGTTCTCAGAAGAGACTCTTCTCTAGGTCACATACAGTCATTGTGCCTTCCTAGCAGCAGACAATTCAAACCCAGAGCACTTTCTTTAGAACAATGTCACAAGGGAGAAAAGCTCTCTGATAGTGTATTTCCCATCTGAGCTCAGTAAATAGAGTTTGGGGTAGGATGTTTACTTTGATGGCATTCCAGTATTTGTTGAGGATTTGGGTTCAATAATAACTGAAAATAAGAGAATGGAGGGAGAAAGAGAGAGAGAGGAAAAGAGTCCTTGATTAGCTGACTCAGCTGTGTTTTTGCAGGGCTAGACCAAAAATTTACAATTTTAGGGGTACATGATACGAGGACCAAAGTTTAGAAAAACTGCCTTAATCAGTGTTGCACAACTTCCTCTCTCACAACTTGTTCTAAACCACAGTCTTCCTCACGGCCAGTTCTCTCCCTAGTAACAACTGCATCATACTGTGAGGCAATACAGCACCACAACACCTCTAGTTCTATTAACCCAATTCTATACTGTCCTAGCCATCCCTTCAGCCAATTCCCTTCAGCCCCCCTTTTTCCTCCAAACATAACGACGGTCATTATGGCCAAACAGTTCTATTTTTGTTTCATCAGACCAGAGGACATTTCTCCAAAAAGTACGATCTTGGTCCCCATGTGCAAACCGTAGTCTGTCTTTTTTATGGCAGTTTTGGAGCAGTGGCTTCTTCCTTGCTGAGCGGCCTTTCAGGTTATTTTACATTTACATTTTAGTCATTTAGCAGACGCTCTTATCCAGAGCGACTTACAGTTAGTGAATACATATTTTTTTTATACTGGCCCCCCGTGGGAATCGAACCCACAACCCTGGCATTGCAAATGCCATGCTCTATCAACTGAGCTACATCCCTGCCGGCCATTCCCTCCCCTACCCTGGACGACGCTGGGCCAATTGTGCGCCGCCCATGAGTCTCCCGGTCGCGGCCGGCTGCGACCGAGCCTGGATTCGAACCAGGATCTCTAGTGGCACAGTTAGCACTGCGATGCAGTGCCTTAGACCACTGCGCCACTCAGGAGTTATGTCGATATAGGACTAGTTTTACTGTGGATATAGATACTTTTGCACCTGCTTCCTCCAGCATCTTCACAAGGTCCTTTGCTGTTGTTCTGGGATTGATTTGCACTTTTCGCACTAAAGTACGTTCATCTCTAAGAGACAGAACGCGTCTCCTTCCTGAGCGGTATGATGGCTGCGTGGTCCCATGGTGTTTATACTTTCGTACTATTGTTTGTACAGATGAACGTAGTACCTTCAGGCGTTTGGAAATTGCTCCCAAGGATGAGCCAGACTTGTGGAGGTCTACACATTTTTTTTCTGAGGTCTTGGCTGATTTCTTTTGATTTTCCCATGATGTCAAGCAAAGAGGCACTGAGTGTGAAGGTAGGCATTGAAATACATCCACAGGTACACCTCCAATTGACTCAAATTATGTCAATTAGCCTATCAGAAGCTTCTAAAGCCATGACATCATTTTCTGGAATTTTCCAAGCTGTTTTTTTTTCCAAAAGTATTTGATCCCCTGCTGATTTTTTACGTTTGCCCACTGACAAAGAAATGATCAGTCTATAATTTTAATGGTAGATTTATTTGAACAGTGAGATACAGAATAACAACAAAAAAATCCAGAAAAACGCATGTCAAAAATGTTATAAATTGATTTGCATTTTAAATGAGGGAAAAAAGTATTTGACCCCCTCTCAATCAGAAAGATTTCTGGCTCCCAGGTGTCTTTTATACAGGTAACGAGCTGAGATTAGGAGCACACTCTTAAAGGGAGTGCTCCTAATCTCAGCTTGTTACCTGTATAAAAGACACCTGTCCACAGAAGCAATCAATCAATCAGATTCCAAACTCTCCACCATGGCCAAGACCAAAGAGCTCTCCAAGGATGTCAGGGACAAGATTGGAATGGGCTACAAGGCTGGAATGGGCTACAAGACCATCGCCAAGCAGCTTGGTGAGAAGGTGACAACAGTTGGTGTGATTATTCGCAAATGATAGAAACACAAAATAACTGTCAATCTCCCTCGGCCTGGGGCTTCATGCAAGATCTCACCTCGTGGAGTTGCAATGATCATGAAAACGGTGAGGAATCAGCCCAGAACTACACGGGAGGATCTTGTCAATGATCTCAATGCAGCTGGGACCATAGTCATCAAGAAAACAATTGGTAACACACTACGCCGTGAAGGACTGAAATCCTGCAGCGCCCGCAAGGTCCCCCTGCTCAAGAAAGCACATATAAAGGCCTGTCTGAAGTTTTCCAATGAACATCTGAAGGATTCAGAGGAGAACTGGGTGAAAGTGTTGTGGTCAGATGAGACCAAAATCGAGCTCTTTGGCATCAACTCAACTCGCCGTGTTTGGAGGAGGAGGAATGCTGCCTATGACCCCAAGAACACCATCCCCACCGTCAAACATGGAGGTGGAAACATTATGCTTTGGGGGTGTTTTTCTGCTAAGGGGACAGGACAACTTCACCGCATCAAAGGGACGATGGACGGGGCCATGTACCGTCAAATCTTGGGTGAGAACCTCCTTCCCTCAGCCAGGGCATTGAAAATGGGTCATGGATGGGTATTTCAGCATGACAATGACCCAAAGTACACGGCCAAGGCAACAAAGGAGTGGCTCAAGAAGAAGCACATTAAGGTCCTGGAGTAGCCTAGCCAGTCTCCAGACCTTAATCCCATAGGAAATCTGTGGAGGGAGCTGAAGGTTCAAATTGCCAAACGTCAGCCTCGAAACCTTAATGACTTGGAGAAGATCTGCAAAGAGGAGTGAAACAAAATCCCTCCTGAGATGTGTGCAAACCTGGTGGCCAACTACAAGAAACGTCTGACCTCTGTGATTGCCGACAATGGTTTTGCCACCAAGTACTAAGTCATGTTTTGCAGAGGGGTCAAATACTTATTTCCCTCATTAAAATACAAATCAATTTATAACATTTTTGACATGCGTTTTTCTGGATTTTTTGTTGTTGTTATTCTGTCTCTCACTGTTCAAATAAACCTACCATTAAAAGTATAGACTGATCATGTCTTTGTCAGTGGGAAAACATACAAAATCAGCAGGGGATCAAATACTTTTTTCCCTCACTGTAATCTGTCTGTAAACAATTGTTGGAAAAATTACTTGTGTCATGCACAAAGTAGATGTCCTAACCGACTTGTCAAAACTATAGTTTGTTAACCAGAAATGTGTGGAGTGGTTGAAAAACGAGTTTTAATGACTCCAACCTAAGTGTATGTAAACCTCCGACTTCAACTGTATAGCGCTACTTTGGATTTCACCCCCGTCTAATAATTGAATGGTTTAGACCGTTTGGAAGTTTTGACTGACCCTGGGAATGAGCTTCTCTTCTTCTCCCACTTCGACCATGCAGTGCGGGTAGCAAAAGTGATTGCTGTCCTTGTTATGAAGTTATCTACTTTACCCTATACAGTTGAAGTCGGAAGTTTACATACACTGAGGTTGGAGTCATTAAAACTTGTTTTTCAACCACTCCACAAATGTCTTGTTAACAAACTATAGTTTTGGCTTTTGGCAAGTCGGTTAGGACATCTACTTTGTGCATGACACAAGTAATTTTTCCAACAATTGTTTACAGACAGATTATTTCACTTACAATTCACTGTATCACAATTCCAGTGGGACAGAAGTTTACATACACTAAGTTGACTGTGCCTTTCAACAGCTTCTGGTCTGATTAAACAAAAAAAGAACTGTTTGGCCATGATGACTATCGTTATGTTTGGAGGAAAAAGGGGAAGGCTTGCAAGCCGAAGAACACCATCGCAACCGTGAAGCATGAGGGTGGCAGCATCATGCTGTGGGGGTGCTTTGCTGCAGGAGGGACTGGTGCACTTCACAAAATACATGGCATCATGAGGAAGGAAAATTATGTGGATATATTGAAGCAACATCTGAAGACATCAGTCAGGAAGTTAAAGCTTGGTCGCAAATGGATCTTCCAAATGGACAATGAACCCAAGCATACTTCCAAAGTTGTGGCAAAATGGCTTAAGGACAACAAAGTCAAGGTATTGGAGTGGCCATCACAAAGCCCTGACCTCAATCCTATAGAAAATGTGTGGGCAGAACTGAAAAAGTGTGTGCAAGCAAGGAGGCCTACAAACCTGACTCAGTTACACCAGCTCTGTCAGAAGGAATGGGCCAAAATTCACCCAACTTATTGTGGGAAGCTTGTGGAAGACTACCCAAAACGTTTGACCCAAGTTAAACAATTTAAAGGCAATGCTACCAAATACTAATTGAGTGTATGTAAACTTCTGACCCACTGGGAATGTGATGAAAGAAATAAAAGCTGAAAGAAATAATTCTCTCTACTATTATTCTGACATTTCACATTCTTAAAATAAAGTGGTGATCCTAACTGACCTAAAACAGGGAATTTTTACTAGGATTAAATGTCAGGAATTGTGAAAAACAGAGTTTAAATGTATTTGGCTAAGGTGTATGTAAACTTCTGACTTCAACTGTATATCTAAAAATGACCATATATACTGATTGTTTCAAGCAACAACAACAAAAAATAAGTGAATGTAGGCTAAGCCCCGATCGGCATGTATAGCCAGATGAGAGTTGTGTCTCCGGCGGGATGTCAGGCATTTTATAAAAGTAACCTAGCAAATTACATAGGTTGTCACTCAAATAATAAAGCCCAATATTGCGCAAGCAATTTTACAAACATTTAAATGCTGAATGTGACACGCAGATGTACCAGATCAGGAATAGGCCTACCTCTCGTTGGTCAACGTGCGAAGCTGAGTACAGCCCACAGTTTGACTAGTCTACTGATATTGCCTGGGGTTGTTCGGCACGCAAAATGTGAAGTCACAAAAGATTAGGTATTTTCAGATAGTAGAGAGAAAGTAATTTGTGCAACATCCAAAAAATTGTGAACCGGTGATTCGTAACGTTTGATTCAATTTCCTGACCGATGCATGATACATTTGGATACGTTTGGGGTCCCGTGGACATATGCATTAATATCTTAAACATTTGAGCCGGGGAACGATGGCGTATCGATGAATCGTTACATCCCTAATGACTAGTACGAATGAGACAGGACCACTGGAACCAGGCCAGTGTGTGTGAGTGTGTATGCATGTGTTCACGCATGTGTGCGGGTTCCTGGTGTGGTTTTCTGCAGATTCAGTGGCATTTCCACATTTAGGGCCCTATAAAATCTATGTTGCGGAGAATGCGGACGGAAACATGGAATCCAGACATTAAAACGGAATTCAACAATATCTAAAATGTATTGAAATTAGTAGGAAATCAACTAAATGTTGAAAATTAATTAATTTGCCCAGGTTTATCATAAGACATTAACTAAATGCATTAGTGATTAGGATTCCATGCAACTTTCTGAAAAGCCAACTGCACATCGGGTTAGGGCTGGGTAGGGCCTGCCATCAATAACTAGGGTACCGGCAGGGCTCGGGTATCACTAAATTGGTCACTAACATTTTGAAGCTGAGCCATTCTCTGCTGCGCAGTACAGTCATATCTGACTAAGATCATAAGTGCTTCAACCTCGTCAAATATAAGACAGGAGAGATTATTTCACAGAAAATAATGTTCCTTGAGTTATGTCTGAGTGACGAAAAGTAGCTAACAGCTAACTGCTCTCTCATGTCTCTTCATTGAGCAGAGCAGCCCAAGCGGTGCCATTGCTATGGATACTTATAGACTCAAAGGGCCATGAGCGAGCTGCACGTCGGGAGCGGGTGACACACAGAGAGAAGCAGCTAATGTTTTTACTAAAGAAGGAAGTTATTTCTGATTTTTGGTTGGGCCTTAAATTTGGCAGAAGCAATCAGGCCTGGGTAGGGTCTGAACCTCGCGGGCATGGGTGAGGTTCGGGCTTAAAATTCATGTCCGTGCAGCACTCTAGTGCACACTTAAATTAAAGGTTAACTGCACTCCAAAACCAAAATTTTGCCAGACTTCAAAAGTAGTCTCCTGATGTGGTTCAAATACTTTGAACATCCAATTTACTTGTTTTTCTATTTATAAAGGTGAAAAAGCTGGGGAAATCTGAAACCTGGAAAAAACTAAACCGAGAAAATGGAATTTGGGAAAAAACTAAACGGAACCAGGCAAAAAATAAATACGGATTTCATAGGGCACTACACACGGTTTGCGAACACATTCGCTCACTCATGGCATCTGGGGCAGGAACATAACCACAACACCTGGATCAACCGTGTGTTAGTCCCCCACCTACCAGCCAGTGTGTATGGCGGATCCAGAGCCTTCAAGGACATTATCAAGGACATAATACAATATCCACCTCTATGACAAGCTACAGGACTGTTTCGCTAGTACAGACTGGAATATGTTCCGGGATTCATCCGATGGCATTGAGGAGTTCACCACATCAGGCTTTATTAATAAGTGCATCGACGACGTCGTCCCCACAGTTACAGAGGGAAACCCAGCCGCGAGCTGTCCAGTGACGTGAGCCTACCAGACAAGCTAAATACCTTCTATGCTCGCGTCGAGGTGGTGAGGGTAGGCAGCAACACATCTACTATGCTGACCCTCAACACGGGGGCCCCTCAAGCGTGCGTGTTTAGTCCCCTCCTGTATTGCCTGATCACCCACGACTGTGTGGCCGCACACGCCTCAAACACCATCATTAAGTTTGCTGACGACACAACGGAGGTAGGCCTGATCACCGATGACAATGAGTGTGGTGCCAGGACAACAACCTCTCCCTCAACATCAGCAAGACAAAGGAGCAGATCTTGGACTACAGGAAACTGCTTGGCATCCAACCGCAAGGCGGTACAGAGGGTAGTGCGTACGGCCCAGTACATCACTGGGGCTGAGCTCCCTGCCATTTAGGACCTCTATACCAGGCGGTGTCAGAGGAAGGCCCTAAAAATTGCCAAAGACTCCAGTCACCCAAGTCATAGACTGTTCTCTCTGCTACCGCATGGCATGCGGAACTGATGCACCAAGTCTAGAACCAACAGGACCCTGAACAGCTTCTACCCCCAAGCCATAAGACTGCTAAATAGTTAGTTAAATAGTTAACCAAATAGCTACCAGGACTATCTGCATTGACCCTTTTTTTGCATTAACTCTTGACTCATCACATACGCTGCTGTTAGGGTTTATTATGTATCCTGTTACTTAGTCACTTTATCCCTACCTATATGTACATACACTGTATCTACCTCAATTACCTCGTACCCCTGCACATTGACTCGGTATTGGTACCCCGTGTATATAGCCAAGTTATTGTTACTCATTGTGTATTTATTCCTTGTGTTATTATTTTTCTATTATTTCTTTTGGGAAGGGCCCGTAAGTAAGCATTTCACTGTTAGTCTACACCTGCTGTTTAAGAAGCATGTGACAAATACAATTTTCTTTTATTTGTGTGTTAGTTTGTGAAACTTATATAACATGGGGTCAAATTGATGTTGGTGAGAGGTCCTCATGTGTTGTCACCTACCCGCCCAATTCAGTCCATTCCTCACTTGAGATATGAGCATATAACTGAAACTTGTGCGCAAATCACACATTGATGTGAAGTACTGAAGTTATGATTTGTTAACTAAACATCCTCATTATTATCCCCCCATCTTACCCCTGCTCCACCTCCATCTCGTCTCCACGGTAACAGGAGCGAAGCATGATCTGTCGTTCCACGTCCCACAGGTGCTCCTTTAGGAAGCGAGCGGCCTGCACCGCTCTCTCCAGCATAGCCTTGTCATCCAGCACAGCACCGACACGCGCAAAGCCTGATAACATCAGACCTGGAGAGAGAGAGCAAGAAAGAGAGAGATATGCGAGGAGAGAGATCGAGAGAAAGGGAGGGGGGCAGAGGGAGGGGGGAGGGGGGTTATGAAACCCATTGTCATAATGCCAAACCCAAAATATTATCAAGCACCTGCCAGCAACATGGTTTCAATGGAATTCTGTGATGTTGTCCCATACTGGAACTCTGTATCATTATCTCTCTCTGGAGCAGCTCAGTGACACTGTGAGGTGGCAGTTCAGTAGAAACTTGGTGATTACCAGGCTTTGAAGTTCCCCTTGTCGCTGGGTTCCTCTTCTCTCCTTCCCTCTATCCCTCCCTCCATCTTTCATGTCAGTATCAAAGCATTGGTAGGGAGCAGCCCAGTCATCAAAGCCCCAGCAGAGTGCTGCCTGCCCTGGGGGACAGCTGATTAATGAAGTGATTGACTAATTAATGGAAGGGTTCCTGAAATCGCCTAGCTTCATTACCTCGCAGATACTGATACACTCCTGCATCAGATGGAGACCTGGGGGCAGTGCGTGTGGGTGGGTGGGTGGGTGGGTGGGTGGGTGGGTGTGTATACACGTGCACCCTTACCGTTCCAGGAGGCCAGCATCTTGGTGTCGAGGTGAGGGGCCGGACGACTCTTCCTGACTTCGGCCAGCTTGGCTCTAGCGGAGGCCAGTAGCTCAGAAACCTTCTCTACACTGAGGCCAAAGCGTGCAGCTGTAAGCTCCACAGAGTAACGCACGATCAACACGTTCTGGCCCTGCAGCTCCCCATGAGGGTCCTTACAGACACAGAAGATAATTACAGAAGATACACAGAAGATAAATGTTTATGATAATTTAAAAGATACTTAGGACAAGGTCTATCGTGGGGACGAACAAGCTTGCGCACACACACACCTGTTCCATGTCCACGTTGCCTTGTTCTTTGACCCCGTAGTGGTGCATGAAGATGTCAGCCTCTGTAGCGCCTCCTGTTGCTCCCTCCACCACAACAGGAAGTAGTTCTCTGATCTCTGACCCCATCCACACACAGAACGCCCCCTCCCTCTTTTCACTCCCCCCCGCAGCAGGGAGAGAGTCTGCGTCCTCAGCACTGTAGAAGCCCCCGGACTAAACTCCCAAGAGAGAGAGAAGGGGTGTTTGGAGAACAATGTGTTAATATACTTTTCTGTATGATAAATGTAATGGATCTTAAACCAATGTTCCGGTCATGATCTTTGGGTTGAATTTTTTTTGTTTTGTTGATGTAATGGATTACGAAACCAAGAACTTGCCGAAGGATATTGTTGCACTCAGTTACATGGTCTGTAACCTGAATAAATGTGTGCATTAATGTGAAAAGTAATCGTATGCGACCAGGTGTTGAATGCATGTACCCAGGAGACAGCAACTTTACCTTGGTCCAGGGCCAGCTCTGTCTCTCTTGACCTCTTGGTCGGCCAGTCCAAACTGATTATTATTTGTTCAGATGGTGGCGAAACATAAATATGTCCAAAAATGAAAATACCAAAAGGCATGCCGAAACTAAAGACAAAAACAAACGAAAGGCCTCATGGCCACCAAACACAAAACCAGCAGCCTCGCGGATTGCAAGCTGGGACCGACGACCAACCTAATTGGCAGCACCTGATGTGCTTTTCAACCAGGCTCAGCATCTGGACAAGGTTGCTGCTGCCCCCTAGGGGAATGGAGTGTGGATGCGGTAGCGAGCTGTAGCGCTGTCTAAACTACCTAACCTATTACCTAACAATCGTATGAAAAAACAAAGGTTCAGTCATCAACTGCTGTTTGTGCCCACCACTGCCCACAGGACATGAGATTAGAGGTAGATAATATGCAACTTCTCTGTATAACAGTAGGTAAATTAACTAGAAACTAGGAAAATTCATGCCAACTCAATTGTCCATTGTCTGCACATTCTCTGTATTCTCTCTGCGATAATGACTCTGGGCTTTCGAGGGAAAGCCCTGTCAGAGGCAGCCGTATAAAAGAAACAGTATCCGTGGTAAATTACCTTCCTAGCATAATTCCTTACCGTATAACTGCATAAGAAATCTTGGTGAATATAAAGATCTCAATGAGTGTGGTTTTAATTGTGTGCTCTGTTCTGGGCTGTCGAGACATTAATCAAACTAAGATGGCCGCCGCCTTGCCTGGGCAGAGAGCAGGGAGAGGAAGAAACGGGTTGACATTGATAGGAATCCAGGGGCATTTTTCAAAAGAGTGCGATACCTGGCCCTCACACACACGCCCCCACACACACATGCATGAGCGCATGTGCACACACACACACAGAGGTGTTATGGGGGGCCAGTATGAAAATGTATGCACTCACTAACTGTAAGTCGCTCTGGATAAGAGCTTCTGCTAAATGACTAAAATGTAATGTAAATGTTAATGAGGTAGGAGGGAGATGTCTCACCTTGTCACTGAGGTCTCTGGAGACGTAGAGGAGAATATCCCGGGCCACGTCAGCAAAGACTTGCTCCCCCGACACCTGCACCCACACAAGACAACATATCACATAATCACACTGCAACCATGACACAAGCATACCACAACCATTCCCATGAGATCTGTACCCACAGAACACAACATAATGCAACCTTTATACAACAAGTCCCCCTGAGGCCTACAACCAGGGAAGACAACATACAGTGGGGAAAAAAAGTATTTAATCAGCCACCAATTGTGCAAGTTCTCCCACTTAAAAAGATGAGAGAGGCCTGTAATTTTCATCATAGGTACACGTCAACTATGACAGACAAAATGAGAAAAAAAAATCCAGAAAATCACATTGTAGGATTTTTAATGAATTTATTTGCAAATTATGGTGGAAAATAGGTATTTGGTCAATAACAAAAGTTTCTCAATACTTTGTTATATACCCTTTGTTGGCAATGACACAGGTCAAACGTTTTCTGTAAGTCTTCACAAGGTTTTCACACACTGTTGCTGGTATTTTGGCCCATTCCTCCATGCAGATCTCCTCTAGAGCAGTGATGTTTTGGGGCTGTCGCTGGGCAACACGGACTTTCAACTCCCTCCAAAGATTTTCTATGGGGTTGAGATCTGGAGACTGGCTAGGCCACTCCAGGACCTTGAAATGCTTCTTACGAAGCCACTCCTTCGTTGCCCGGGCGGTGTGTTTGGGATCATTGTCATGCTGAAAGACCCAGCCATGTTTCATCTTCAATGCCCTTGCTGATGGAAGGAGGTTTTCACTCAAAATCTAACGATACATGGCCCCATTCATTCTTTCCTTTACACGGATCAGTCGTCCTGGTCCCTTTGCAGAAAAACAGCCCCAAAGCATGATGTTTCCACCTCCATGCTTCACAGTAGGTATGGTGTTCTTTGGATGCAACTCAGCATTCTTTGTCCTCCAAACACGACGAGTTGAGTTTTTACCAAAAAGTTCTATTTTGGTTTCATCTGACCATATGACATTCTCCCAATCCTCTTCTGGATCATCCAAATGCACTCTAGCAAACTTCAGACGGGCCTGGACATGTACTGGCTTAAGCAGGGGGGACACGTCTGGCACTGCAGGATTTGAGTCCCTGGCGGCGTAGTGTGTTACTGATTGTAGGCTTTGTTACTTTGGTCCCAGCTCTCTGCAGGTCATTGACTAGGTCCCCGTGTGGTTCTGGGATGATTTGCTCACCGTTCTTGTGATCATTTTGACCCCACGGGGTGAGATCTTGCGTGGAGCCCCAGATCGAGGGAGATTGTCAGTGGTCTTGTATGTCTTCCATTTCCTAATAATTGCTCCCACAGTTGATTTCTTCAAACCAAGCTGCTTACCTATTGCCGATTCAGTCTTCCCAGCCTGGTGCAGGTCTACAATTTTGTTTCTGGTGTCCTTTGACAGCTCTTTGGTCTTGGCCATAGTGGAGTTTGGAGTGTGACTGTTTGAGGTTGTGGACAGGTGTCTTTTATACTGATAACAAGTTCAAACAGGTGCTATTAATACAGGTAACGAGTGGAGGACAGAGGAGCCTCTTAAAGAAGAAGTTACAGGTCTGTGAGAGCCAGAAATCTTGCTTGTTTGTAGGTGACCAAATACTTATTTTCCACCATAATTTGCAAATAAATTCATTAAAAATCCTACAATGTGATTTTCTGGATTTTCTTTTCTCAATTTGTCTGTCATAGTTGATGTGTACCTATGATGAAAATTACAGGCCTCTCTCATCTTTTTAAGTGGGAGAACTTGCACAATTGGTGGCTGACTAAATACTTTTTTTCCCCCCACTGTATCACACTGCAACTGTGACACAACCGGACCCCAACCAACCAACCATAGGCTACTGTAATTAACAACATTGCACCAGTCTCCTGAGACCTGCACCCACAACAACATAGCAACGATAACTCAACTGTATTCTGAGCCAACCACTGTAGACACCCTCTTTAAAAAAACAACCTCTTGCACTTGATCGCACACCTCCCAAATATAGGACCTACAGTGGGGAAAACAAGTATTTGATACACTGCCGATTTTGCATGTTTTCCTACTTACAAAGCATGTAGAGGTCTGTAATTTTTATCATAGGCATTTTATCTGTCATAGTTGACGTGTACCTATGATGAAAATTACAGGCCTCTCTCATTTTTTTAAGTGGGAGAACTTGCACAATTGGTGGCTGACTAAATACTTTTTTTCCCCACTGTACACTTCAACTGTGAGAGACGGAATCTAAAACAAAAATCCAGAAAATTAAATTGTATGATTTTTAAGTAATTAATTTGCATTTTATTGTATGACATAAGTATTTGATCACCTACCAACCAGTAAGAATTCCGGCTCTCACAGACCTGTTAGTTTTTCTTTAAGAAGCCCTCCTGTTCTCCACTCATTACCTGTATTAACTGCACCTGTTTGAACTCGTTCCCTGTATAAAAGACGCCTGTCCACACACTCAATCAAACAGACTCCAACCTCTCCACAATGGCCAAGACCAGAGAGCTGTGTAAGGACATCAGGGATAAAATTGTAGACCTGCACAAGGCTGGGATGGGCTACAGGACAATAGGCAAGCAGCTTGGTGAGAAGGCAACAACTGTTGGCGCAATTATTAGAAAATGGAAGAAGTTCAAGATGACGGTCAATCACCCTCGGTCTGGGGCTCCATGCAAGATCTCACCTCTTGGGGCATCAATGATCATGAGGAAGGTGAGGGATCAGCCAAGAACTACACGGCAGGACCTGGTCAATGACCCGAAGAGAGCTGGGACCACAGTCTCAAAGAAAACCATTAGTAACACACTACGCAGTCATGGATTAAAATCCTGCAGTGCACGCAAGGTCCCCCTGCTCAAGCCAGCGCATGTCCAGGCCCGTCTGAAGTTTGCCAATGACCATCTGGATGATCCAGAGGAGGAATGGGAGAAGGTCATGTGGTCTGGTGAGACAAAAATATAGCTTTTTCGTCTAAACTCCACTCGCCATGTTTGGAGGAAGAAGAAGGATGAGTACAACCCCAAGAACACCATCCCAACCGTGAAGCATGGAGGTGGAAACATCATTCTTTGGGGATGCTTTTCTGCAAAGGGGACAGGATGACTGCCCCGTATTGAGGGGAGGATGGATGGGGCCATGTATCGCAAGATCTTGGCCAACAACCTCCTTCCCTCAGTAAGAGCATTGAAGATGGGTCGTGGCTGGGTCTTCCAGCATGACAACGACCCAAAACACACAGCCAGGGCAACTAAGGAGTGGCTCCGTAAGAAGCATCTCAAGGTCCTGGAGTGGCCTAGCCAGTCTCCAGACCTGAACCCAATAGAAAATCTTTAGAGGGAGCTGAAAGTCCGTATTGCCCAGTGACAGCCCTGAAACCTGAAGGATCTGGAGAAGGTCTGTATGGAGGAGTGGGCCAAAATCCCTGCTGCAGTGTGTGCAAACCTGGTCAAGACCTAAAGGAAACGTATGATCTCTGTAATTGCAAACAAAGGTTTCTGTACCAAATTTTAAATTCTGCTTTTCTGATGTATCAAATACTTGTCATGCAATAAAATGCAAATTAATTACTTAAAAATCATACAATGTGATTTTCTGGATTTTTGTTTTAGATTCCGTCTCTCACAGTTGAAGTGTACCTATGATAAAAAATTACAGACCTCTACATGCTTTGTAAGTAGGAAAACCTGCAAAATCAACAGTGTATCAAATACTTGTTCTCCCCACTGTACCATTGATTATGTAAAGACCCAGCGTGCGACAGACCTGCAGCAGTTGTGACCTGTTTTTGTTGGTTGTTTTGTCATAGTTGTGTCTAGGGGGGCATATTTTTATATCCCTATCTTACGCGCCGAGGCTGGCTTTACAGTGAATCCTTTTACCTCTTTAAGATGAAAAATACATCAGTGAAGAGGACACTCTTGTTGGCGTATTCTACTGTACTACAGTGTTGATTTCTTCTACTGTACCACCAACACAGTAGGGGACACATCTATGGTCCTATACATTGCTATTAGGGATAACGGTTAGCCGCTTTAAATACATTTGACCGGTCGTGCTTATTGGCCTATAGGTTAATTAGCATAATTTCGTGGAATTAAATTGGCGAGTGTATTTTTTCATTAGTTGTCGTGTAGCTTTTTTATCACACGCGCACAGCATACAGAGCCTAGTTTGAGGAAGGGAATGGCCCATCACCTGTCAGACAGCGCGAGAGAACCTACTCAAAAAGTTGGTCCTGGAGTGAAACGTGCTTTTATAAACCCAGTCATTGCGCAAACAAATAACAATTCTAAATGCACTCGCGTGTTAAAAACTGTTTTGATGGCCACGATTAAAAAGAGCTACTATTTTTATTTCTCAATCTTAACTCATAATTAAAGTGTGAATCTCAATCGCCATTCGAGTGCATAGGCTATAGTCAATGGTAGGCAGGCTATCAGCGCATCACCCACCACTTTACAATGTGAGCTTGAGGCAGTATAATTGTTTGAAACCTGAACGTTTTACTTTACTTCAAATAATTAAAGTAGCCTATCCAAATCCAACCATAGAAATGTGGAGGCAATTATTTAAAAAAGACTTCCTCAAGCCATTAACCAGCATTTCTCTCCTGTTCTATTGGTTTTCATATTAACTTTCTTTCGCTGTCCAGAAGCCAAAGGCACAATCCTAGTCATATTAGCAACACATACTAGTTGTTGTTTTTATCGTTTTTTTATTGAACCTTTATTTAACTAGGCAAGTCAGTTAAGAACAAATTCCTATTTACAATGACGGCCTACCAAAAGGCAAAAGGCCTCCTGCGGGGACGGGGGCTGGGATTAAAAATTAAAATATAGGACAAAACACACATCACGACAAGAGAGACACCGCAACACTACATAAAGAGAGACCTAAGACAACAACATAGCATGGCAGCAACACATGACAACACAGCATGGTAGCAACACCACATGACAACAACATGGTAGCAACACAACATGGCAGCAGCACAACATGGTAGCAGCACAAAACATGGTACAAACATTATTGGGCACAGACAACAGCACAAAGGCAAGAATGTAGAGACAACAATTCATCACGCGAAGCAGCCACAACTGTCAGTAAGAGTGTCCATAATTGAGTCTTTGAATGAAGAGATGGAGATAAAACTGTCCAGTTTGAGTGTTTTTTGCAGCTCGTTCCAGGTTCTAGCTGCAGCGAACTGAAAAGAGGAGCGACCCAGGGATGTGTGCGCTTTGGGGACCTTTAACAGAATGTGACTGGCAGAACGGGTGTTGTATGTGGAGGATGAGGGCTGCAGTAGGTATCTCAGATAGGGGGGAGTGAGGCCTAAGAGAGTTTTATAAATAAGCATCAACCAGTGGGTCTTGCAATGGGTATACAGAGATGACCAGTTTACAGAGGAGTATAGAGTGCAGTGATGTGTCCTATAAGGAGCATTGGTGGCAAATCTGATGGCCGAATGATAAAGAACATCTAGCCGCTCGAGAGCAACCTTACCTGCCGATCTATAAATTACGTCTATGTAATCTATCATGGGTAGGATGGTCATCTGAAGCAGGGTTAGTTTGGCAGCCGGGGTGAAAGAGGAGTGATTACGATGGAGGAAACCAAGTCTAGATTTAACCTTAGCCTGCAGCTTTGATATGTGCTGAGAGAAGGACAGTGTACCGTCTAGCCATACTCCCAAGTACTTGTATGAGGTGACTACCTCAAGCTCTAAACCCTCAGAGGTAGTAATCACACCACATCCATAACCTGAACGGAAACCATATTGCACACCAGATAGAATACTATAGACATCAAGAAAGCCAGTCAGTTGATTATTGCAAAGTTTTCCAGCACTTTTGATATACAGGGCAAAATAGAAACTGGCCTATAACAGTTAAGATCAGCTTGATCTACCCCTTTAAATAAAGGACGCACTGAGGCTGCCTCCCAAGCAATGGGAACCTCCCCAGAGAGGAGAGACAGGCTAGAAGAAGAAAGGATCTAAACCATTTGACCCAGATGTTTTTTTGGGGTCAAGTTTAAGGAGACCTCAGACTCAGTGATCGCCTGTAGGGAGAAACTATGTAGCGGGGCAGGGGGAAAAGGGGGAGGAGCATTGGGGCTAGTCGCATTAAAAGAGCTGGGAGATGAGGACGGGCAAGGAGGTATGGCTGAGTCAAATAGGAAACCTGACTTGATGAAGTGGTGATTAAAGAGCTCAGCCATGCGCTCCTTGTCAGTAACAACCACATCATCAACATTAAGGGACATGGGCAGCTGTGAGGAGGAGGGTTTATTCTCCAGGTCTTTAACCGTTTTCCAGAACTTCTTGGGGTTAGACCCACAGAGAGAGAACTGCTCCTTAAAGTAACTGACTTTGGCCTTCCGGATAGCCTGAGTGCACTTATTTCTCATTTGCCTGAACGAGAGCCAGTCATCCTGAGTATGCGTGTGCCGAGCCTTTCACCAAATGGAATTCTTGAGGTGGAGTAACTCTGCCAGATCACGGTCAAGCCAGGGGCTGAACCTGTTTTTAATTCTCATTTTCTTTATAGTGCCGTGTTTGTTAACAATACCACTGAAAATATCAAAAAGAAGGTCCAAGCGTCTTCGACAGAGGGGATCAAGCTGATTCTATACCAATTTACAGAGGCCCCCCTCATGAAGGAAGGTGTTCCTTGGTAAAGATTGCCACTCCACCACCTTTGGAAGATCTGTCTTGCTGAAAAAGGCTATAACCAGAAAGGTTAACATCAGTGTTCAAAACACCTCTTTCTTAACCACGTCTCAATAATAACCAACAAATCTGGATTGGAGCTATGAACCCACACTTTCAATTGATCAATTTTAGGTAATAAGCTTCTAGTGTTAACGTGCAGAAAACCCAGGCTTTTACGAGAGCTGAAATCAGTGAAACAGATATCAGAGCACAAGTCAGAATTGGGACTAGCAACAGTAGATGGGCCAGGGTGTACATGCACATTCCCAGATATCATCAGCAGTAATACAATCAGGGCACGGCAGACAACAGGGAGAGCTCTGCAGTGTTGCTTTTTTATGACATTTGAGTGTGCATCAGATGGCAACAAGATCATATTATGCAGCAATTTCATCAGGTAACATGAATACAAAGCCGGCGAAGGGTGGTTAGAATACGATGGGAGGCCAAGTGTCCGTGTAACCAATAGAGAGTCAGAGTCCTGAGTGTGGAAACAAACATAGTCTGTCCCACAGTTCAGTAAACAAGCAAGTTCATAGTCAACAAAGCACGCAGGAGTCATGTAACGACTTGGGGCTAGCCATTGTAAGTTCTAGTTGTTGCCATTAGATTCTACCTCTTTCTAAGTTTCTAACAGCAATTTTATTCTTTGTCACATATGGAACCGCTCGCATTAGGTGCGCTGTTTAGAAAGGTGTTTTCCACTAATTGCATTTTGGCAAATGTTTGAAAATGACATTTTATTAGCTGCTTCATTACAGAAGTTGCATGTTCAATAATTGCCTATAGCCTTTTGACTGTCAGACGATAGGCTTTCTATTGTTGTACGTTTTCATTAAGCTCTTAATAAAAAAAGTCCATTCCTTGTATGCATGCATTGTATTTTCTGTTGGTTGCGTCATTTTACTGTTTGACATTTGTTTTACCGTTTGTTGACCAGTTAATGAGGGTAAGTTAGTCGGCAGCAAAATTTACCGAAATATGCATCCCTAATTGCTATGCATAGACTCATAAACATAATCACACAATATGCTACAGCTCACTTCACAGCTTCCCCGGGAAATTCAAGTTATTGTAGCCTCACGCGGACGAAGAAGTTCGCTTCTGCTGCAGCTTTCGAGGTAAAATATTACACACTTTGCAGCGGTGGTTCGCATTGCTATAGATACCCTGCCCATGATGTGACATCCCCTAACAGAGATTATTTATCTAGGTGAATTCTGCTGACTAACACTTTTTGGGCGGGAAAATTATGATGGTAGAGAGAGGGGATAAACGATGTGGCTGGCACACAAACACACGCATGCACACACACACCTGGTAGGCGCTGATGTAGGCCACAGCCAGCTGGGCCTGGTCATAAAGCATTTTCTCAAAGTGGGGAACATGCCAGGATGAGTCTGTAGAGTAACGATGGAACCCCTGAGAGAGAGGAAAATAGGGAGAGAAAGGGGGATAGAGGGACAGAGAGAGAATGAAGAAAGATGAGAAATACAACATAAATGTTACACTCTTGCTCATGCCAACTGTGTTGTGGTGTGCTGTGTGTACTGGAGTAGCATGTCCTAGGAATGATGGTAAGGTGGCGTTAGTGTGAATGAGTGTGTGCACCTGTGCCACATGGTCGTGGATGCCCCCCAGGGCCATCATGCGGAGCGTGTGTAGAGTCATCTGGAGTGCCTCGGCCCCCTCAGTGGACGAACGGTTCACAGACCAGAACGACATAAGGAACATCAGATTCACTACACAGAGAGAGAGAGAGAGAGAGAGAGAGAGAGAGAGAGAGAGAGAGAGAGAGAGAGAGAGAGAGAGAGAGAGAGAGAGAGAGAGGCAGAAAGAAAGCGGGAAAGAGAGAGAAAGAGACCGTGAGATAAAAAGAGGAGAGAGCAACGGTCAGACAGACAGAGATGCACAGACAAAAATAAAGAACTGGAGGACTCTTGTGTGCGGATGTACCTGGTGAGGGGAACTTGGGTGCATCCCTGAATCCTCCGTATTCCTCCTCATAGGAGTGTGCGAGCTGTACGAAGCAGCGATTGGCTACATCTGGGGCTGGGGGTGGGGTTTCCCCAGGGTTAGCTGCGATAGAGGTTCCCTTCTTCAGAGCTTCTATAACTCTCTCACCACTTGACTCCAGCGCTTCACGGTTATCCTGCCACTGAGTGAGTGGAACACACACACGGTTGCTATACCCTTAATATCTTTGCCACTCACAGTCCACAAGCCACTTGGCATATCTACGTAGGCTACTGTATACACACATACAGTGCATTCGGAAAGTAATCAGACCCCTTGACTTTCCACATTTTGTTACGTTACAGCTGGCGTGATGTGACTTACTTTAATGTATGACTGTTATTTATCGAATCACCTAACTATGTTTAATTGTCACTCGATTAAATTAATAATGTAACAATTAACTCATTAGGAATTTGGGGCATGACGGAAGAAGTTGTTTAACGTGTTACCATCTCCCGAATTAAACTCTTAGAAGATATAGAGATATATATATATATATATATATATATATGTTATATATCGATAACAGTCACTTATTAAATAATTACCTCAGTCTCATTTTGAACGTCGCATAATCCTTGAGCCTGCAAGAACCCTAACCTTATTGATGAATCAGCAATACACAAATTGGCTTAATTATTTATTTACTAACTAACTAAATATTAACACAATACAAACACACAGGTTATTGATTACTAAAACAAAATCGAATCAAATTGTATTTGTCACATACAGGTGTTTAGCAGATTTTATTGCGGGTGTAGTGAAAGGCTTGTACTACTAGCTCCGACAGTGCAGTAATATCTAACAAGTAATATCTAACAATTTCACAACATATACCCAATACACACAAATCTAGTAAGGAATGGAATTTAAGAACACACATATATATATATATATATATATATATATATATATGGACAAGCAGTGACAGAGAGGCATGGACGAAGATACAGTAGAATATTATAGAATACAGTATATACATATGAGATGAGTAATGCAAGATATGTAAACATTATTAAAGTGTTCAATTTCTTAATGTGGCCAGTGATTTCAATAGGCAGCAGCAGCCTCTAGTGTGCTAGTGATGGCTATTTAACAGTCTGATGGCCTTGAGATAGAAGCTGTTTTTCATTCTCGGTCCCATCTTTGATGAACCTGTACTGACCTCGCCTTCTGGATAATAGCGGGGTGAACAGGCAGTGGCTCGGCTGGTTGATGTCCTTTATGATCTTTTTGGCCTTCCTGTGACATCGGGTGCTGCAGGTGTCCTGGAGGGCGGGTAGTTTGCCCCCGGTAATGCGTTCGGCAGACCGCCCCACCCTCTGGAGAGCCCTGTGTTTGCGGGTGGTGCAGGTGCCGTACCAGGCGGTGATACAGCCAGACAGGATGCTCTCAATTGTGCATCTGTAAAAGTTTGTGAGGGTTTTAGGTGCCAAGCCAAATTTCTTCAGCCTCCTGAGATTGAAGAGGCTCTGTTGCACCTTCTTCACCACACTGTCTGCGTGGATGGACCATTTAAGTTTGTTAGTGATGTGTATGCCATTGTAATGTAATACAGTGACAACAGGTCCCTAGTGGACTGGACTAACAATAGCATGAATTCTTGGGTAGAAGGAGGGTCAGAGTGGAAGGGAGAGACAGAGATTCAAACTATCGTGGTTACTTTGGAAACTACGCTCACGGAAATACAAATGCTTAAAACCCCACTAAACGCTCATTCGGATTAGAAATGCAACATGTATTTACGTGTAGCTGTCCTCGATAGTTGAGTTGATGATGTAGGACTCTGGTTTGCCCACCAGCGATTCAATGTCCTTGGTAGAGTTTCTGGTCGTAGTGGTGGTTAGAATGGGTACTTCAGATGTACCAGCGATTGTCGGAGCGGGATTGTCCTTCTCAACTCGTGTCTTTAGTGAAAGTTCTCTAGACGACTATACATGCCAACTGCAAACTGAGATGATAAGGACTACTGCATTGTCTTCTTCTTCACCTCATGTAGACGTTGAGAGTTTCAGCGTTTCTCCATTTCAAACGTGTGAACTAACGTCTTACGTTTTCTGGTCTAACCATTTTGTAACGTGTAGCTTCAGCTTCACGCTTCTTGGTCTTGTAGAAATTCAACCATTTGGTTGGTTGGTAAAGGAGTTGTAGTTTTAAACCATTTTTATAATGTTTAGCTCACGCTTCACGTCTGCTGGTCTGATGTTAATTAGTTTTTCCAAGGCTTTTTATGCACTCAAGTGTAAAAAGGGTGTTCCATCATGTTTGTGCTCATCTGGGCATGGCCACTGACTGTGGTCAATATGGAAAACAATCATCTCATCTAGAATGCTAAAATCACATTGTTATCTTCACAAAAGTATTATTTTACTTAATCATTTGTTTTATACAACAATTAGATGCAAACCTCATAACTGGGAAGTGTACACCCCCAGAGATACAGTTATGTTGTTCCACCGTCTTTATTGACATCACAACATAGTAACGAATTCAACATGATTGTTCTTTAAGTCCCCAAAGACCATCTCCCACATTATTTTAAGTAGGAATATTGTTTCATTATCCACTTTTGGATGTTGGCGGGAAGACTTCCTTTGTCTCACAGGGAATTTCCCTCTCCCAATACTGCATGGCACGGAAAATAAAGTTTCTGCAAGGAATTTACGACCGGTCATAAAACTGTCCCCCAGGAAAGGGGGTGTTCAAACCTTTGCACAGCTATTTTCAGGTCTCTCCAGAGATGTTCGATCGGGATCAAGTCCGGGCTCTGACTGGGCCACTCAAGGACATTCAGAGACTTGTCACGAAGCCACTCCTGCGTTGTCTTGGCTGTGTGCTTAGCGTCATTGTCCTGTTGGAAGGTGAACCTTCACCCCAGTCTGAGGTCCTGAGCACTCTGGAGCAGGTTTCAATCAAGGATCTCTCTGTACTTTGCTCCGTTCATCTTTCCCTCAATCCTGACTAGTCTCCCAGTCCCTGCCGCTGAAAAACATCCAGACAGCATGATGCTGCCACCACCATGCTTCACCGTAGGGATGGTGCCAGGTTTCCTCCAGATGTGAAGCTTGGCATTCATGCCAAAGAGTTTAATCTTGGTTTCATCAGACCAGAGAATCTTGTTTCTCATGGTCAGAGAGTCCTTTAGGTGCCTTTTAGCAAACTTCAAGCGGGCTGTCATGTGCCTTTTACTGAGGAGTGGCTTCCGTCTGGCCGCTCTACCATAAAGGCCTGATTGGTGGAGTGCTGCAGAGATGGTTGTACTTCTGGAAGGTTCTCCCATCTCCACAGAGGAACTCTGGATCTCTGTCAGAGTTACCAGCGGGTTCTTGGTCACCTCCCTGACCAAGGCCCTTCTCTCCAGATTACTCAGTTTGGCTAGGCGGCCAGCTCTAGGGAAAGTCTTGGTGGTTCCAAACTTCTTCCATTTAAGAATGATGGAGGCCAATGTGTTCTTGGGGACCTTCAATGCTGCAGACATTTTTTGGTACCCTTCCCCAGATATGTGCCTCGACACAATCCTGTCTTGGAGCTCTACGGACAATTCCTTCGACCTCATGGCTTGGTTTTTGCTCTGACATGCACTGTCAACTGTGGGACCGTATATAGACAGGTGTGTGCCTTTCCAAATCATGTCCAATCACTTCAATTTACCACAGGTGGACTCCAATCAAGTTGTAGAAACATCTCAAGGATGATCAATGGAAACTGGACGCACCTGAGCTCAATTTCGTGTCTCATAGCAAAGGGTCTGAATACTTATGTAAATAAGGTATTTCTGTTTTAAATTTTTATAAATGTGGTAAAATTCTAAAAACCTGTTTTCGCTTAGTCATTATGGGGTATTGTGTATAGATTGATGAGGAATTTTTTTTTTTTAATCCAATTTAAAACAAGGCTATAACGGAACAAAATGTGGAAAAAGTCAAAGGGTCTGAATACTTTCCGAATGCACTGTATGAACTTTGAACTCAATGTATGAATAGCACTTTCCAAATACAGCTTGGACATTATTATTACCTGCTCCATAATTCTGGTCAAGACAGTTTTGAGTCCAGGTCTCCGGCCACTGTCCCTGGGGGGGAAGTAGGTGCCCCCAATGAAAGGTCGTAGATCAGGGGTCAGCCACACACTCATCGGCCAACCACCACCTCCGCTGGTTGCCTAGAGACCAGGGACAGCAACACAGATTAACATAAACACAGTAGATATGGGGACTTATTTACTACATGTTTAAACACACACACACACACACACACACACACACACACACACACACACACCTGCACGAAGGTCATGTAGACTTTGTCCACATCAGGTCTCTCTTCGCGGTCGACTTTAATACAGACGAAGTTGTCACTGAGGGTCTTTCCGATCTCCTCATCCTCAAAGGACTCTCTCTCCATCACATGGCACCAGTGACACGTAGAGTAGCCCACTGACAGGAAGATAGGCTTGTCTTCACTCCTGGCTTTGTCAAATGCCTCTTGTCCCCATGGATACCTGGGAGGTTGGATAGATTCATGTATTTAACTGGCACTATCTTACATTGTTTACATACACTGAACAAAAAATTGTACGCAACATGCAACATTTTCAAAGTTTTACTGAGTTACAGTTCATATAAGGAAATCTGTCAATTGAAATAAATAAATTAGGACATTCCTGCAGTCAGCGTGCTCATTGCACGCACCCTCAAAACTTGAGACATCTGTGGCATTGTGTTGTGTGACAAAACTTCACATTTTAAAGTGCCCTGTTATTGTCCCCAGCACAAAGTGCACCTGTGTAATGATCATGCTGTTTAATCAGCTTCTTGATATGCCACACCTGTCAAGTGGATGAATTATCTTGGCAAAGGAGAAATGCTCACTAACAGGGATATGAAAAAAATGTGTGCCCAAAATTGTAGAGCAATAAGCTTTTTGTGCGTATGGAAAATGTCTGGGATTTTTTTATTTCAGCTCATGAAACATGGGCCCAACGCTTTACATGTTGCGTTTATATTGTTGTTCAGTGTAGTTTGTAAGGTTTTTGATTAGGCCTACTGGTGAAAGAGAATAATAAGTGGACTAACCCAGCAGTCCACGGGGTTGTGTGTGTGTGTGTGTGTGTGTGTGTGTGTGTGTGTCTAACCCACCAGTCCACCGGGTTGTGTGCGTGTTGCAGCAGGTAAGGGGACCTCTCCTGTCCCAGGCGGTTGGGGGGTCTCTGGGGGTTGGACGGGGGGCTGCCCTGCCCCTCACTCCCAGACGCCATACTCAGACTGGCTCTGCTAGTCATACTGGTGGTTCAAGTGAAACACAGATGTAGCGCTTTGAACATCATTGGAAAACTATTTGTAAACTACAACAAAATGACTGACTGCAAATTACATACTGTGGAGTGTGCCATCAATGCTAAGATCTGTTCATGTTAGCTAAGTCACATGTTGTTTATGTTTATAGAAATATTATTGCTGGGTGAATTGCGTGCATACTTGGCATATGTGGTATGAGTGCTACATGATATCAGTGTTGGCTAGACAGTAGCAGCTTACTATAATCGCTAGTTACTGTAACTACTTAGCTCGCTAGCTACTTCCTCCATGCGCGAACCCAGCCAAGTGCCAGCTGTCAAACCAGACAGTGCTGGCTGTCAAGTATGCTAAAAACACTAGCCTTTTGGCTAGCATGGCTTTTAGTTCTCTAAACTGCAGAACACACCGTAAAGCATCACCAATTGTTATGTCCAGTGTTTACTAGCAATCGTGTCAACACTGTAAAAGGTATCATCAGGTTTATTTATAATTGGGTAAATAGCTAGCTGGCTAGACCAAGGGCGAATGGCATCTAGCCTGCTAGCTAGCTAACTAACAACAGCTCGTGCAAGACCACTTGGCGACCCGCTAGATCCCCAGGCAGGCACGAGACAGTGATGTAATCCACAGCTAGCTAGCCAATCAATTGTTGCATTATTATAGCTAGCTAACGTTAGCTAGTTAGCGATTAATCAATCAATTTGACAAGCCAGTTGCAAGCTGTTGTCACGTCCTAGGCGATTGTCATGTTATGTGTCATTTCATTAGCTACTTTACCTGAAGCAGTATTGGGACGTCCTGGGACTCAGCAGCGAGGGGGACTTGTCACTAGCAGGGAGTGGTGTGAGCCCGCTGATGTCCCGACTCAGCTCTGGGCTGTGCCGCTTGTGGTGACCTCCCAGGACAGCGATACTTAGCAGGCGAGCTGGGTCAACGCGGCTTTTTTTTGACGACGTCCATGCGAGTCTTAACATCTTAATCCAATGTGCCTTGTCAAAGGGCTGGCTGGCTCAGTGGAGGTTTGCCTAACACAGCAAGTGCAACTCTCCGACCAACCAACTCTGAGAGTTTTGGCATAGACTTTGGGAAGTGTTGCCAACCATTTTTTTGTTTGTGAGAATCGCTATTGGCTCCTTGTTTTGACGCTAGAAGTCGCTAGATTATGTTTTGCCGTTGCCGCGACGACGTCACAGCACCAATTCGCCTTAGTGCAGTACAGATGCAGTCCCCGATGTAACGTTTTCGCACCCTCTCCCTCCGCACATCCCCTCTACTTATGCGTCTTTGCCTGTGTGTGACTTCTGTTGCACAGACAGCTTCTCCCACTCTCGTTTGCGTCAGAATTTGGTGGGAAAAGTCACCCAAGTGATTCATTCTATAGCTTCTTTCTATAGCTAGAGGACGCCTGATATTTCCAGGAGTGATAAGTATACTTTTTGTCTTTATTTGTCGTTGTCTAATACCAGAGGAGGCTGGTGGGAGGAGCTGTAGGAGGACGGGCTCATTGTAATGGCTGAAAATGGAATACATGGAACGGTATCAAACATATGGAAACCACATGTTTGAGTCTTTTCCATTAATTCCATTCCAGCCATTACAATGAGCCTGTCCTCCTATAGCTCCTGACACCAGCCTCCACTGTCTAGTACTGGCTTTTTGCTAGCTAGGGCCATCTACTTTAGGTGCTGCCTGTCTTCCCAGGAGCCTACTTGGTGTGAACTGCTGACTGCTCATAACTTGCAGATGATGGTTGACACATCAACCAGGATGAAGGGGTAATTTGTGACCTTGTTTTGGTAATCAGTGGCTGTATTAGAGGGGGAGTCGTTTCACCTCTTTTCTGAGTGTATATAACCAGATTTTCAGGCGCCATCTCTGTGTGCTTCATTCTATAGATAGAGGACTCCTAATATCTCCAGGAGTGATAAGTATAATTTTTGTCTTTATTTGTTGTTGTCTAGTACTGTCTTTTTGCTAGCTAGGGCCATCTACTTTAAGTGCTGCCTGTCTTCCCAGTAGCCTACTTGGTGTGTGAACTGTGACTGCTCATAATGTGCAGATGATTGTTGTCACATCAACCAGGATTAAGGGGCAGGGCAATTTGTGACTTGTTTTTGTAATCAGTGGCTGTATTGGATGGGGAGTGGTTTCACCTCTTTTCTGAATGTATACTGAACAAAAATATAAATGCAACATGTAAAGTGTTGGTCCCATGTTTCATGAGCTGAAATAAAAGAAATGTTCCATATGTACAAAAAGCTTTTCACACCAGTTTTGTGCACAAATCCATCCACCAGAAAGGTGTGGCATATCAAGAAGCTGATTAAACAGCATGATCAATACACAGCTGCACATTGTGTTGGGGACAATAAAAGGCCACTCTAAAATATGCAGTTTTGTCACACAACACAATGCCACAGATGTCTCAAGTTGAGGGAGCGTGCAATTGGCATGCTGACTGCAGGAATGTCCACCAGAGCTGTTGCCAGATAATTTAATGTTAATTTCTCTACCATAAGCCGCCTCCAATGTTGTTTTAGAGAATTTGGCAGTAAGTCCAACCGGCCTCACAACCGCAGACCACGTGTAACCACGCCAGCCCAGGACCTCCACATCTGGTTTCTTCACCTGAGGGATCGTCTGAGACCAGCCACATGGACAGCTGATGAAACTGTGGATTTGCACAACCGAAAAATGTCTGCAGAAACTGTCAGAAACCATCTCAGGGAGGCTCATCTGTAGGATCGTCGTCCTCACCAGGGTCTTGACCCGACTGCAGTTCGGTAACCGGGCAAATGCTCACCTTTGATGGCTACTGGCACGCTGGAGAAGTGTGCTCTTCACAAATCCCAGTTTCAACTGTACCGGGCAGATGGCAGACAGCCTGTATGGCGTCGTGTGGGCGAGCAGTTTGCTGATGTCAACATTGTGAACAGAGTAACCCATGGTGAGGTTATGGTATGGGTAGGCAGGCAGGCATACACTAGAGATAACGAACACAATTGCATTTTATCGATGACAATTTGAATGCATAGAGATACTGTGACGAGATCCTAATCAGTGGTTGTATTGGAGGGGGAGTGGTTCCTCCTCTCCTAGGCAATCAGCAATTAGTACAGGGAGGTGTGCTCTTCACCTCTGCTAGGCAATTGGTGTTAGTACTTCAGTCTCCCCTGGCTTCTCAGTGGCAGCTGTAAGCGGCAGTCGTGTCGGTCTCATTGGCAAAACTAAGACCGTCGCCAAACAAAGATGGTTCTGCAGAGTTGTTCTGCGTAGTTGTTTGAGGAAGGAAAGAGAGGAAGGCTCCACACCACTCTCTCAATTGAGTATCTTACCTAGTTATTTTCTGACAAGTCATTTTTCTCTTTTGTAGCTTTGGCAACTATGTGTGTTTATATACCTGTTCGCTCCTCTCACGGTAACCTTTATAGACGCTCCCCACCCTTGGCTGCAACCCTTCTAATTTAGTGCACCTGCGTGCATAACCCGTGTGGAATTCTGGGTCTCTTGCAGCATTTGGAACTGCCGATCTGAGGTCAAGAACGCTGAGTTCATCTCAGCCTATGCGTCCCTTCAGTCCCTTGACTTTTTGGCCCTGACGGAGACACTGATCACCCCAGAGAACACCGCTACTCCAGCTGATCTCTCCATCTGACTATGTTTTCTCTCATAGTCCAAGAGTATCTGGTTGTCGCGGGAATGGCACAGGGCTGTTCATTTCTCCTAACTGGAGTCACTCGGCTCCGTTATATCCTCACATGGTCTCTCCTACCATTGCTATGCGAATGACACTCAACTACTTTTCTCCTTCCCCCTTCTGACACCCAGGTGGCGACACACATCTCTGCGTGCCTGGCAGATATCTCAGCTTGGATGTCGGATCACCACCTCAAGCACAACCTCGACAAGACGGTGCTGCTCTTCCTCCCGGGGAAGGCCTGACCACTCAAAGACCTCTCATCACGGTTGACAATGCCACAGTGTGCAAATAACTTTGGTGTGACCCTGGACAACACCCTGTCGTTCTCTGCAAACATCAAAGCAGTGACTCGCTCCTGCAGGTTTATGCTCTATGACATCTGTAGAGTATGACCCTACCTCACACAGGAAGCGGTGCAGGTCCTAATCCAGGTACTTGTCCTCTCCCGTCTGGACTACTGCAACTCGCTGTTGGCTGGGCTCCCTGCTTGTGCCATCAAACCTCTACAACTTATCCAGAACGCTGCAGCCTGCCTGGTTTTCTTCCATGACACCCCGCTCCTCCGCACACTTCACTGGCTTCCAGTTGAAGCTCGCATCCACTACAAGACCATGATGCTTGCCTATGGAGCAGCAAGAGGCCCCTCCCTACCTTCAGGCTATGCTCAAACCCTACACCCCAACATGGAGCCACCTCTGGTCTCTTGCCACTCCCACCCCTACGGGAGGGCAGCTCCTGCTCAGCCCAGTCCAAGCGCTTCTCTGTCCTGGCACCCCAATTGTGGAACCGGCTTCCCTCTGAAGCTAGGACGGCAGAGTCCCTGCCCATTTTCCGAAAGCACCTGAAACCCTACCTCTTCAAAGAGTATCTTAAATCCCCCCCACAAAAAATATACTTTCCTGAACCAACACTTGCACTTGACTCCCGACGCCCCCCCCTTTCTAGCTCTGACTTTGTTGATAGCTACTTTGTTGAGGAAAAGTGTACTTACTATGCCTGTGATATGTGGTTGTCCCACCGAGCTATCTTAAGATGAATACACAAACTGTATGTCGCTCTGGATAAGGCCATGTGTTAAATTACTAAAATGTAGAAACTCTCGGTGGCAAAACACCCCAAAGGCAGCCTGAAAGTAGCTGAATTTGTCACTAGCCTCTTTTACCAATAAAAGTTGCTGGAAGGGTCAGAACTGGCTAAATATAGAGACAAAGTCGCTAAATTGGCAACACTGACATTGGGGCCTTTGAGTAGTTACATGATTGGCCACATGGTGACACTACAGGAAAGAGAATGGGTGCACATTGTTTTTATGTTATTAGTTTGATCATGCAGTGCACGCTTTATTCATAATCAAAGTATGTATGAACCAAAAAGAAGACCATCAAACCACTGATAATGCTACGCCTTAGTTTATAACTTGCTTTAGAAAAGATATTGCACTTGAGAAACACTATGTTGTTGTTCATATGGCTTTCCGAGATATCCATCGCTGATCAGTCTTCGATTATCTAGCCAAGGCCAGGCTCACCATGTTCTGGGCTCTGTTGAAGATGGAAAAGTACTGTCTGATATCACCCAGGATTCACAGGTTGGAGTTACCAGATTGGAGACCGGTGCGGCAGCCGTAGTAGGGGGACTGTACGGGTGGCAGAGAGAGAACTAGTCAAAACAATATTACGGTCACCTCAGGGCTACGTCAGCTCTACACACACACACCTGGAGGGTGGAGGCTGGGAGAGTGAAGGCCTGTCCGTGGATGTGGAAGACCATTGCTGGCTTGTTGTTAATGTTACAGTTCACCACATTCTGAAAAGAGAGAGAGCGAGAAATAGAGGGAGGAGCGGGAGAAATGAAGTGAGAAGAGACCATGACTTAAACAGCTTTTGCTGTGTGAGGTTTTTTTATTTTATTTTATTAGGATCCCCATTATCCGACGCCAATGGCGACAGCTAGTCTTACTGGGGTCCGACAAATAACGAAAAATACATTACAGACAGAAGGCTTTACAATTTACATACATTAAATGTATGTACATTAACATGCATCTATCACATACATGTCAGTACATACACACAAAAAGTAGGTCACATGGGGAGAGGTGTTGTGCCGTGAGGTGTTGCTTTATTTGTTTTTTTTAACCAGGTTTGCTGTTCACTTGTGCTATATGAGATGGAAGGGAGTTACATGCAATCATGGCTCTGTATAATATTGTACGTTGCCTTGAATTTGTGCTGGACCTGGGGACTGTGAAAAGATCCCTGGTGGCAATTCTGG